CAAATTACACCGCCTAGCGCTAGAACTTGCTCTTTTTCAGTGTATGGCAGAAGTCGCAACTTGTGAACTTAATCTATGGCTCAGTCTAGCATCGAAAACTCCCTGAGGGGGAGACGAGATGAGTCAGGTGATCGCAACTATCCACCATACTACATCGCACATACTGCTTTCGATTGATATGTTTAGATAGGCCGAAAGTGGTGATCACCTGCAGGCCCATCTCACTGCGTCGAATTCCAATAACCGCATCATTCAGCTCCTGGAAGCCGCTGATAGTTGCATTGAGCAGCACTTTATTAAAACCAATAGGCTTCTGCAAACGCAATTATACGTTTCGGTAAGATATTCAGTGTGTGTAAGGGCAAGCCGGTTGGTATGCCCAATTAATGTGCCTCATAACAATACAGCGACCTATGATATTTGTTTATACTAACAACTTCTCCGTACTGAACCAAAGCTGGGAAATTCTCAGCTGCTGATACTCGGCTGTAAGTTCAGTGATACTGTTACGGATACGCACTTAAGCACAAAGGAGCGGTGTGATGATTACGACAACCGATGTCGCTTACGTAACATATATACAAACACCCAGTCCATATATACGATTGGTCAGGTGATGTGACGCAAACGGCGGTCCCCTTCGTTGGCTTCAGATAAGTAAATCCAGTGACACTTATCGATCACATATCGTCCTATGTCATCACTTAATCCGATTAAGACATGAGTGCCCCCCTCTTTCATGATTTGTTCATGCAACCTACGTGCTCGAAGCCAGACAGTCGAGTTGGTATTCCATCGCCGGAAGCCCAAGGCCATGCGACTGTGAGCTACGGCGGTATCGATCAACCGAGAGTGAGACAAAGCTTTTTGAGATGAGCTGTCATACATGTTTTCGCGCTCCAGCTTCGCGAACCCGGTTCTTCTGCCCTACCTGTGCCCGTAGTCAGCTGTATCAGCTCCGGGTTGAGAACGCGAGGGTCCTGCTTGAGAAACAGTCTATTGCGGAACATATCCAAGCTAGAGTGACCCCTGAGACAACCCAAGCGGAATGGTCGGGTGAAATCAAAGAAACCGCCATTGCTTACCAAAATGGGCTCTCTGCCAAGCGAAGCTTACAGATGATTGTTAAGGGAGAAGCTGAGTCGTGTGAAAGGCTGAGGCTACTCGGTGATCAACTCGAAAACCTGACTGCTGAGATCAAGGACAAAAGACTTGAAATCTCCCAACGCAGGCTCGCACTAGCGCGACGGCACTCGGACTCTGAATCTGCACAGTATCAGCTCGGCGAGCGGGAAGCTGCAATCCTGGCCAACATCCAGAATAATACTAAGAGGACGGACCATCTCTGGCATTCGCTCCATAGCAAAACTGCAGAGGCCCGAATATTCCTCTGCCGAGAAGCTGCCAATCTTTATGGGCTACAGCGGAAGACAAGGAGTAAGGAAGGATTGTCCCAAGAGGTCTACACGATGGGTGATATAGATATCATCGATTTGAGGGACATGAACGGAAAGTTACAGCTCTGCGACTTTTGATTTATATCAGTTAGTAATGCTTTGGACAGGTGTCACGCCAGCTTATATATCCACCTCCCTCTTCAATGTTGCTCACCTTCTCGTCCTTGTTTCGCATTATCTGTCTCTCAGACTCCCAGCGGAAATCACTTTACCCCATAAAGACCATCCTATACCCACTATATGCGCACCTTCTGCGTCCTATCTTTCACGAGATCCAAATTCCGTAACATATTCGCTACGTCATCCACCATCTGTACCGCCTGAAACTAGAACCACATCGCCTCGCCCTTCCAGACCTCGGCCCCTCTCCATCGACAGAGCACTTCCGAAACTGGCCAGGGAAGACCCTGGAACATATGCACTATTTCTTGAAGGGGTAACATTACTGGCATGGAATGTGTCGTGGCTATGTCGAACTCAAGGTATAAACATAACATCAGAGTCCTGGGAAGAAGTTTGTAACGTTGGGAAGAATTTGTGGCAGCTCCTTGTGGCACCACCTGCGCAGCCATCGACACTATCAAGAGCCTTTGCTGGACGCGACATACAGGCGAAGATGAGGGTATCAAAGGACTCACCCAGAACTACCATTCAGCGCACAATGTCATTCCCTATGCTAGGGCATTACTCGCATGGGACTGCACATTCCTTTCTGGGTGCTGTCGAGGGGGCTGAATTCATGCGCACATGGAGACTTCCTACTCCAACAAAGATCGTGGATAAGCTGAAATCAACTCTGTTGGGTGAAATGGCCAGTGCAGAATGGGAGCTGCTGGAAGGCGATTGGGACGACGCAAGTCAGGAACCGAGGGAATCAATGCTCATTCAACATCCATCCACTGATTCTACCTCACCGGAGCGACAGGGTAATACTAATAGTGGGAATAGCGTAAATGATACAGTTGCCGGCGCGAGCAACCTCAGTGGACCTCGTGGACCCACTCGTATGAAGGGTACCAGTGGCTGGACCAAGCTGAGAAACAGGTAGTATTGAATTGAAGAAATTCTACGAAATAGATAGATAGATTTCCATTAGCCAACAGCGCCTGCCAAGAAGTACATTGCACTTAGTATTCTTTTTTCCCTTATTAAGAAATCTGGGTGAGAATCATCAGATACTAATGTGGCCGTACGGAGAGACCCCTTCGGGCGCACATATCTCTCCGAATTGGAATCGACTACCCCGTATGGGGTATCTCAAGGAGCTACGTCCTGCTCTTCCCAGCATCCTATTATGCCCATATAGAGTAGCAACTGATACTCATAGAGGTTACCCTAGTATATTCTTGAGCCTCAATAATAGCCATTTGAAACATCTGTGGTGTGCATCTCGTACGTCGCTCCTTCGAGATTATCCAGATTAGATTATCCAACAATCAAATGCGCAGCGGTTTGATTAGATAAGCGAGAACTAGGAACTGATTGATAAGATTATCTGGACAAACGAGCCGCGTGTCCGGATTACCGGCAAAGTCTCCCTACATGTCGAATAGGCGTCCTCTCCTTTCGACATGGTAGGTGCATCACGTCATTGAGACTGCTCGCTGCCAGAACTTCCGGTGTTATCCCTCTCGCAGAAGCAACTGTATGTACTCGCTGCATTGTAAAATTGTCAACTGCTGACGCGACTTAGGCTGCTTCTGAACCGTTCGTGAGCCTGTGCCGGCGCCCAGTGCATGTTTTCAGGTCATGGATGCGGCGAGAGTACATCGTTATATGACATATAGCCAAGAATGGATGGAAACCAAAGGCCGGGTCAGACCGACCCTAGTAGCTCAGGTAAGTTCAGTTTAAAGGGAACATAATGTGGGAGACGCACATATGTCTCTTTTTGCCTTTACCGGTTCAACTCCCAGCCTGCTCCGCTCCGCACGGCATATTTTCGCTCTCTACTAACGCGAAAATTTGTCTGCAGGGACTGAATATATGTTCTCATTAATCTCCGATATTCCTGAATCTGTTTTGCGGACGGAGCTTTCCCGACGGAGTTATACTCGGGCTTCTAACGATGACACCTCGACTTGCGGATCACGGGAGCGAGGCGCCTATAACACGCCGATACATGTCTTTGCACTGTTCCTTATCCTTGTGCTTAGCACGCTAGGTACTGTTTACTTTCTCTTTGGCTTCTTGGGTGATTGGCTGTTAACCCATGGTTATATTAGCGTGCTCATTCCCTGTTCTTGCTCGTCGGTTCCCGCGCCTCCCAATTCCGCGCCGGTTCCTTTTCCTCTCTAGACACTTCGGAACAGGCGTACTCATTGCAACAGCCTTCGTACACCTCCTCCCTACAGCATTTGTCTCATTGACCGACCCTTGTCTCCCTCGTTTCTGGAGCGAGACCTATCGTGCCATGGCCGGCTTTGTGGCTATGATTGCTGTATTCGTGGTGGTTCTCGTTGAGATGTTCTTTGCCCTGAAAGGTGCGGGCCATGTCCATGGGAGCGAATACGACCAGTTGATCAGCGACGTCGGCGCAGATCTCGCAAGTGACGATCAAGAGGAAGACAATGACTACGGAAACGGATTGGCCGACAATGTCCACCTTGACAGCCTTGGGGAAGGCATGGCTTTACACTCTCCCACGTCACTTGGAAGATCCCCGGTCAGTGGGCCTTCAGGGTCAAACATTAAGGATTCGGCTGTGTCTACCGAACTCAACGACAGGGAATTCGAAGAACCAAGTGCCTTCGAAAATACTCGCGGCAATTCCCATAAGAACCGGGATGAGCAGCCGTGGCATTCTGGTCACCGTCGGTCTCATAGTAGCGTACATCAGGGGACCGACCTCGAGTCATCCAGGCAAAATCCACAGCGCCAATTGCTTCAATGCTTGTTGCTCGAAGCCGGAATTCTCTTCCACAGTATTTTCATTGGAATGGCCCTCAGTGTTGCCACGGGTACATCATTCATCGTCCTTCTTGTGGCTATTTGCTTTCACCAGACTTTTGAAGGATTTGCTCTTGGATCACGGATAGCGTCTTTGATCCCTGATCTCTTTCCCCCATCATCGTACAGGCCGTGGCTCATGGCGCTTGCCTATGGAACCACTACCCCCATAGGGCAAGCTATGGGGCTTGTTCTGCATAACCTCTATGATCCAGCAAGTACGACAGGCTTACTCACAGTGGGAATAACTAACGCCATCAGTAGCGGGCTATTATTATTTGCGGGGCTTGTTGAACTTCTGGCAGAGGACTTCCTTAGTGAATCAAGCTATGCGACGCTCAGGGGTCAACGGCGTGTCGAGGCTTGTGTAGCCGTTGCAGGAGGCGCTCTACTCATGGCATTTGTTGGGGCATTTGCTTGAACATCACCCAGGACTCCTCTGTTTATGAGGCATTGTAGCCAGTATATCCTAAGAAATGTCATTAAGAATACGACCCAGTCAAGAGCTAATAGCTAATAAGATATCTAGGCGCATCTAGGCGCGTTTGGCTAATGGGTATTTACAGAGACTTTCGCAGCAGCCGAGCGCTGTATGAGAAGCGAAGGTGAGCAAGTAGTAAATTCTAGTAGCAGTATGACCATGAATAGTACACGACAAGATGGCCATCAGCCCTTAACATCTTAACAGTAGTATTGAGACAGAACACTCAAGGCTTTGGTTTAAATACTACACTGCTGGTGACGGATATTCTGTACTAGGTACGTCAATTGCAGTGCTTGTGCCAAGATAAACAGGATAAACAAGACTTTTCGACAAAAGAACAGATTCATGTAATTATTATATTGCATTTCGTCAGATGCCAGACCCACTCACCCTGACTTAAAACATGATGCGCAGTCTTTAGGCATCGGCAAGATCAGGGTATTTATATCATTTTGCCGTCCTCATATTTCGCGACAGCATACTTTAGTTCACGAGGTGATACTTTTCTAGCTTAGACGAGGGATTCCACTATCATGGCACTAGCACCACCACCACCGTTGCAGATTCCGACACAGCCGAGCTTGCCCTTCTTCGCCTTGAGAACTCCGAGCAGGGTAGTCAAGATCCTAGCACCACTGGCACCAATGGGGTGGCCAATAGCCACAGCACCACCATGAAGGTTGACCTTTTCTTCAGGTAGGTTCAGAAGCTTCATGTTTGCGAGAGCAACAACGCTAAAGGCCTCGTTGATTTCAAAGGCATCGATGGAATCTTGAGCGACGCCTGCATGCTTGAGCGCCTTGGGAATCGCCAACGCAGGAGCAGTGGTGAACTTGCTGGGTTGGTGTGCGGCATCTCCCCAACCGAGAATCTTTGCAACAGGCTTGAGGTTCAGCTCTTTAACCTTGGCCTCGGAAACCAAGACAACAGCGGCGGCGCCGTCGTTAAGAGGAGAGGAGTTGGGGGCCGTCACGGTTCCAGAGCCAGGAATGAAAGCGGGCTTGATGCTTCGAAGCTTATCAGGGTTGAGCTAGAAGATAAAAGCCAAATAGTCAGTTTGACATGAACGATCTGGACCAAGGATGCCTCACGTGGGGAAATGAGTTCTCACATTCTTGGGCTCATCATCTTGAGCGACGGTGACACCTGGCTTACCCCTGAAGCCGGGTAGTTCAACAGGTGCAATCTCTTCGTCGAAGAGGCCGGCCTTCTGGGCAGCCTGGGCCTTTTCGTAGGTCCGGATAGCATACTCATCCTGCTGCTCCCTGGTGAAGTCATGATCCTGAGCACACTCCTCAGCCTGCAGACCCATAAGCTCCTGCTTTCCCGCATCTGTCAGGCCATCCTTCATAATACCATCCACCAAGCTCTGGTGGCCATACTTGGCGCCATTGCGGAGGTTCGGAAGGTAATGCGGGGCATTGGACATGGACTCAGTACCGCCTGCAACAACGATGTCTGCATTTCCAGTCATGATGGTCTGAGCACCAAGAATGACCGCCTTCAACCCCGAGGCACAGACCTTGTTAACAGTGGTGCAAACGGTTGACTCGTCGAGTCCGGCGCCAAGAGCGCATTGTCTGGCGGGGTTCTGTCCGACACTGATTGATTAGGACCATTAGCATGCATCATGGCAAAGGGTAATCATGAACACAGCAAGCGAGAAAACTCACTTCGCAGAAAGAACGTTGCCGAAGAAAACCTCCTGTACATCGGAAGGCTTGATCCCATCGGCTTTGTTAAGGGCAGCTAGACATCGAAGCAGTCAGCGATCAGGGGCACATCATCCATCGCTTCAGCACTGCAGGCACACCTTTGATCGCATGGGAACCCAGCTGCGGAGCGGTCTGGCTCGAGAGAGAACTGCGAAACAAGGAAACTACGATCAGCTTCGCTGTGGACCATTTATCTGAGAGCCTGCAGCGGCCCGGTGTGAAGTCTCACCCCAGGAAAGAGCCCACTGGAGTGCGGGCGGCGGAGACAATGTAGACCGGAGGTAGGGAAGACATGGTGGCGCAAATGCGTGCTTGTGGAGGCAAGCGATTATGGAAAGGGGATGAGGGAAAAAAGAAAGAGTTCAAAGGAAGACCGGCAGGCTATTTGAACAAATAACAAATGAGGGTGAAATGGTAGCTCAGGCCACGAGGGAACGAACGGGATGAACTGTTTGCTTTCCGAGTCAGTCACTCGTTGGCCTGCCCGCCGCCGGCCCCTCCTTACAACAATAATAATTACCCTATTTTTTTCGCCTCGGGAGGCGGGGCGGCGGCCACTGGCAGCCACGGACAAACGTACTACTTTCGGAGTAACTTGCCGGAGCCATGCAAACACGCCAAGCTCGGTCCCGGAGCTACTAGAAACTTATCGCCAAACCGACGCGAGCCTCTCTCTCCAGCTGGTGGACGAGGCCGAGAGAAAGGAAAAGTAAACCCCGGAAGATTCGCCTCTAGTCCAACCACGTTGGAAAATGGACGATCTTTACGATGAGTATGTCTCAATTGGTCACCATGCCCCTCATCCCACCTTGCGCACGGCTGATTATTCTCTTCGCTTTCCGGCAGGTTTGGCAACTATATTGGAGAGGTAGATGGGTCGGACGAGGAGTCCCCGCGTCATGAGGATGCCCATCCTCAGGCTTTCGCTTTTGAAGAGGCGTTCGGGGATGGTGATGACGATGAAGCGCATGACGTTGATGAGCAACAGTTAATGGATGTCGATGGTAGAGTTACCTTTTCCATGTTCACCTTGTGTGCAAGGTCCGCCTTACTGATACCAGTCACAGAGGGCCCGTCAAACGCGGTCATCCTTCACGAAGATAAACAATACTATCCCAGTGCACAACAGGTATATGGCGAAGATGTCGAGACTCTGGTGCAGGAGGAGGATGCACAGCCTCTGTCCGAGCCCATCATCGCCCCGGTCCAACAAAAGAAGTTTGCGATCGAAGAAGCCGAATTGCCTCCCGTCTATTATTCACGGGAATTCATGACGGATTTGCTCAGCTACCCGGACCAGACAAGAAACATCGCTCTGGTCGGTCATTTGCACCATGGAAAAACGGCTTTCATGGACATGCTAGTCACTCAGACCCATGATCTCACCGGTCGCCTCGAGAATCGAACAGGCAAGCGGAAAGAGGAACAACTACGCTACACCGACGTTCACTTTCTGGAAAGAGAAAGAGGTCTTTCCATCAAAGCGTCACCCATGAGCTTGGTGCTTCAGGGCACAAAGGGCAAATCTCACTTGTTTAATATCATTGACACCCCAGGGCATGTGAACTTTGTGGACGAGGTGGCTACGGCTTGTCGGTTGGTCGATGGCGTGGTTCTTGTAGTAGATGTGGTCGAAGGTGTCCAGGCCAACACCGAGCAAATAATCAAGCATGCTATCCTTGAAGACTTGCCGCTCACATTGGTTGTGAACAAGATGGACAGACTAATCCTGGAATTAAAGATTCCTCCCAACGACGCTTATTTCAAGCTGAAACATGTGATCGAGGAGGTCAACACTATCATCGAGAACGTACTGCCTGGACAGGGCGCTGCAAGGCGGCTGAGCCCCGAGAAGGGAAACGTCGCCTTTGCTTGCGCCTCCATGGGCTGGTGCTTCACGTTGCATTCATTTGCTAAGATGTATTCTGAGACGCATCCACAAATTGAAGCAGCCGCATTCTGTTTGCGCCTATGGGGCGATATATTTTTCAATCCAAAGAGTCGAAAATTCACACGAAAAGGAGTGGAAGAAGGTTCTAAAAGAACGTTTGTTCAATTTGTTCTCGAGCCTATATACAAACTTTACTCGCACACATTAAGCGAGAGCCCGGAGGACTTAAAGGAAACGCTTTCTAGCGTTGGTATTAGTCTTAAGCCGTCACAGCTCAAGACAGATGCAAAGACTTTGCTGAACCTTGTCTGTGAACAGTTCTTCGGGTCAGCAACAGGCTTTGTGGACATGGTTCTCCAGCATGTGCCTTCGCCTGCAGAGGGTGCCCAAAAGAAGCTTGATCGGTACTACACTGGGCCTCTCGATTCTAAGGTGGCGGCAGCTATGGCTGCCTGTGATTCCGATGGTCCACTGGTCGTACATGTTACTAAACTTTTTAACAGTTCGGACGGTTCAAAATTCCACTCCTTTGGCAGGATAATGAGCGGCACAGCTCGTCCTGGCCAACAGGTCCGTGTCCTTGGCGAAGGTTATACCCCCGAAGATGAAGAAGACATGGTTGTTGCGACCATTTCCGACACATGGATTGCTGAGTCTTGCTATAACATCCCAACAAGCGGCGTACCTGCCGGCAACTTGGTTCTTCTAGGAGGTGTGGATAACTCTATTGTGAAGACGGCGACTATCGTGCCTCTCACCTTGGAAGACGATGAGGATGCATACATCTTCCGATCAGTTCGGCATATAACAGAGTCCGTCTTCAAGGTTGCTGTCGAGCCAGTTAATCCGTCGGAATTGCCCAAGATGCTTGAGGGTCTCCGAAAAGTCAACAAGAGCTACCCGCTGATATCCACAAAAGTAGAGGAGTCTGGCGAGCATGTAGTTCTCGGAACGGGCGAGCTATATATGGACTGCGTGCTTCATGACCTACGAAGACTATATTCTGAAATGGAGATCAAGGTTTCAGATCCTGTTACACGCTTCTGCGAGACTGTTGTGGAGACCTCGGCTATCATGTGTTATTCCATCACGCCAAACAAGAAGAACAAAATCACGATGATTGCAGAGCCTCTGGATGACGGGATCGCCGAGGATATCGAGAGCGGTGCTGTCAATATCAAAGACCCGATTCGCAAAGTGTCGCGCTTTTTCGAAGAGCGGTACGACTGGGACAAACTTGCAGCCAGGAGTATCTGGGCTTTCGGTCCAGACGAGATGGGCCCCAACATCTTACAGGATGATACGCTACCATCGCAGATCGACAAGAAGTTGCTTGGGAGCGTAAGAGATTCTATCACGCAAGGATTTACTTGGGGAACACGAGAAGGTCCTCTTTGCGAAGAACGTGAGTGCACCATGCTTCCCTTGAATGTTTTGAGAGTTATAGCACCCAGATCCTATGCATTAGGGGGGTTTGTCTACATCGCTATAGAAGCAGAAGAAGAGCGGTTCATTGTGACTAACTGCAAGAATAGCCATTCGGAATGCGAAATTCAGGCTCACCGACGTTTCTCTCGCCGACCAAGCCATTTACAGGGGTGGTGGTCAAATCATCCCCACAGCTCGAAGAGCGATTTACTCATCTTTCCTCATGGCATCACCACGCCTAATGGAACCTATTTACTCTTGCACGATGACTGGACCGGCGGACGCTGTCGCATCAGTGTACACAGTCCTTTCAAGAAGAAGGGGCCATGTACTCTCCGATGGACCCATAGCAGGAACTCCACTCTATTCCGTTCGTGGTTTGATCCCCGTGATAGATTCATTCGGATTTGAAACAGATCTCCGAATCCATACACAGGGCCAAGCTGCCGTTAGTCTAGTCTTCGATAAGTGGAGCGTCGTCCCAGGGGATCCACTGGATCGCGATGTCAAGTTGAAGCCCTTAGAGATGGCGCCCGCCATGGCCACAGCCCGCGACTTCGTTTTGAAAACGCGGAGACGTAAAGGATTGGCTGAGGATGTCACTGTCAGCAAGTTTTTGGAACCAGAGCTCTGGAAAGGTTTGAAGGAAAGTGGCGTTTTAGACTCCTGAGCTATTTTTTGTCGATAGGTGGAAAGAAGCGGCAACAAGTGCCGTAAGTGGCTCTTGTTCCTTTTTTCATATTGTTGTATAACTATCGGAAGTCAAATCGAGTCATCATCGAAACGGGTATTCTTATGACATAGTAGAGACGCCGACGAGGGTCATAAACGGCGTCCGAATAGCAGTACAATCGGATTATTGGCATGTTTCGAGCATCTTTGCGATGACGCCCATTAGCGTACCATTTTCCAGTGCAGCAGCCACCCTTTCTTTGTCGGCCAATTGCTTATTCACTTCATCGGCAGTACTATGTGTCCCTTCCTTGATCCGGACATCCACGCGAAAACGCGGAGGTAATGATTGCTCCAATCGAACTCGTACACCAAGACCTATAACTGTAGCCAGACTGCAATGTGTTATCGTCGGGGTTATGAGAACGGATACTGTCCGAAGAAGCGAGCTCGGTACATCCGGCAAGGTTGGTTTGATAGAAATGTCAGGCAGCGAAACGACTGCCAAAGCTCCAAGTGAAATGGGATGCTCGGGGTCGGATATGGTCGACACAAGATCTGAGAGATGGTCAGGTAATCGGCTCCCGGGCGACTCGGTCCGCTTGTTTAGGAACAAGCGATGAGCTTACCGTAGATCTCCTGTTCATCAATCGGCTCTTCCATCAAATCGACATCTTCATCAGACTCTTCCGATTCACTAAGACTGAAGTTGGTGGGATCCGCTAGAGAGGGGAGCGCTGACGCAAGGATTCCGCCTCCGTAAGTGCCCGCTTTGCATGATGAAGGACGCAGACGGGTGGGAAGATCTGCAGCATTCAAAATAGTCGGATTCGAATTTTGCATCGAGGACTCCATGATTGCTTATGCGATATACAAGTGGTTATCGATAAAAGCGCGCAAGAAGCACCGAGAGGGGCAAATTGGGGGCAAGAGGGAATGGTAAGCCCTAGCACATCATATGCTCAACTAATGCGGTGTCTTGAAGAAATGGAACAACCTTTTTCCCGATGGGTGCTTTTGATATCGGTCAAAAGAAAAGAAAAAGCTTCTCGGTGCTTGTTGCCCAATGGCAGATGAACCCAAGCAAGGTTCTATGTCTTTAATCTATACTAGTTGTTTTATGAATCTAATGATTGGAGAGAATGGAAGGTCAGAGTGAGGAGGAAGAAGGAAACGAATACGTTGGTAGAAGAACCAAACGCGTGCAGATACCCAAGAAGTGCGTATGGACATCAACCAGGTGGGCAAAGTACAACTTCGGGTGGGCGGACCAGCCCTTCAAGGAGTACTCCAGTGTACATAGGCACTGCAACAATCCCAATGACTTTTCCGAATACAGCAGCGCTAACGCAGTAAGTATGAGTATATCCATGCTGTCAATGCTTCAAAATACCATCAACATCATAGCCTACTTGTGTCTAGGCAGCTACCGATAGGTGATCAAGGTTCTAGATCCAGTGAGTGTAACAATTTTCAAGTCAGCAGCAGCGATTACGAGTCGCATACAAAGGACCAAGAAGTCCCCGCCCTAGCGAGCTGTTGTGTTTCCTGAGCGAGCGACGAGGAGGAGGATGAGTGGGGAGGGGTTGGTTTAAAGAATGACGCATCACTGCTATCTAATTGATTGGTTTACTTGGGGGATAGTTATCTTTTTCTTATGTTGCTTGATAATAATAACTGATGGGCCCCAGGCAAATTACTTCCGCAAAGGTCCTCCATAGTTCATACGTAGCTTGTGTCATAGCAGGTACTAATTCGAACAGTACCGTAACCATTATCCGTGCACAAGGGAAACAGTAAAACAGTAAGCTTACCACTCAGACAAGCAGGACCGGAAAGCTTTCTGGTGATACCCTACCCATTGATTCAGCCTTGGGAGCCTTGGGAGTCAATAATTTTGTTAAGGGGAACAATCAAGACGCTTTGGAGTCCTTGAAATGTTGACATTGGCGTCAGCTGAAGGGAATGGCAAGGAGAAGGTCCCGGGGGGGGGGGGGGGGAAGGGTCAGTGTCACATTACGACCAAGGCATCTTGTACACACAGGTAATTGAAAGTCATTTTCCATAATGGAGGGTGCTGCTAGTACTAGTCTAGTCTATTTAACTGGTACTATTCATTTACTACAGAGTAGCTACATGGGTACTGGATACGGTGGACTAGATAGCGCGCACGAGGGCGTGGATCGTGTATTAATTAAGTACGCATGAGCGGGGAAAGTCTAGTAGTACACCTTTATACCGAAGCACCAAAATGAATACTGAAATCACACAATACGCGCAGAAGAAGAAAGAAAAAGAAAAGAAAACAAGAAAAAGGGAAAAGGGAAGGGAAATTCTCCCCCCCTCTAATGAAAATCAATAGCTGTACGTCGCAATCCGTAGTTCGGGGCACTATTTTCAAGGCCAAGAAGATCAAGATCCTTTTAAAACCCGATTTTAACTAGGGATCGTCCTTCCCGTGGAGGGGACGAGGGGGGACCGCGGTCCCATTAAACCGACGGCCATGAGGCCTATATGAAGACACACTACTTTGGGCGCCACTGGGAGTGACCGGGGGGGAAAGGTTGGTTTTAGTTCCAGAGGCCCCTCAAACTTCCGAGACGATCCTCAGAAAGTGGTGCATACCTATTACCTAGGCCAGGCCAAAGATCCTTCCACCACGCGCCCGCTTCTACTCCTCCTCAGGGTATCGAGCGTGTTTACCCACCCCTGTTGTCGGGTCTCCGCACACTCGTCTCTTTATTATTGACTGATCGCTTGGATCTCCGTGCACTACTACGAACCACACTGCCTGCAATTATCTACGGTTCAACTACGTACCAGGAGAATGAGGCGGCAAAGAGTGATGACTTAGCTAAGGAGACCGCATCAACTTCCCGGCGTAACCTCCCTATTCCTATACGGAGATCCTATTTCCATCCGGGAAAATCATTGATTGTATCGGTGGGCTTTCGATTCCCCTGATGCTCTTATCTTCTTGCCTCTCTGCTATTCCAAGCCGCTACTCCGTACTGCTCTTGCAATTACCCATCATCCCCAGGCCCGGCGTTTTGATCCTCTAGCCGTCTCCATACGATTCCCGGTTCATGCAGATAGTGACTTTCGCCTCCGAGTGTGATGCGCCAATCGACTTTATCTTCCTCCATAGTGCAAAGTCAATGGCGAGATTTCCATACTGAAGTTACTGGTCTACGATGCAGACTGGATGAAAGTCGTTCAACTCAACATATCAGGTATCAACAACTCCCCCGCTTGCTTAACGTTCCTTTCACCAATATATCGTGTGGATCTCTTCCCATATCTCAATGTTGGCCGCTCTTGGATTTCCGGCGTATGCAGGAAGCCATCTTCTTATTCCCTCCCCTCTCGAGTTATGCCCTCAATGACAGTCTTTTCTCCGTCCCTATCCCGGATTCTCACTGTTACCCTACCTTTCATTTGTCCTCACTTCCGTCATCGTTTACAACTGACATCATGTAATATATAATCGCAGCAAACTCGACCTTCTTGAAGCTTACCTTTCGTGAAACTGTCAGTCGCGCCAGTACTCCTAGGGTTCAAAATTCCGCTACACCCATAGCTGCGCCGTCTTTATGGCACCTATCAATGACCCGAAAACTGATCAGATCGATGCAGGAGACCATAGTACAGAGACCACAGGTCACACTCTTTTATCGCCGGATGACGCTGTCTTGTTCCCGCGGTTGACGATAGATATTCCTTCCTTACCGCATCGTTCTTCTCGGTCGCAACTCGTTACACCTCCTTCCCATCTCCTCTCCCTACTCAGAACAGGAGGGGGATCCATTGCGCAAGTGTGGGATTAAAGCTACAATAGTGTGAAGACCCCACTAGCGCCCATTAAGTCGACAGTGAAAGGTTCAAAATACATTCTACATTGGTTCCGTCCGCATAAGGCAGGTCCTGCGGATACTTTCCTTTGCCTCAACTTTTTTTCTCCACAGGACCTGAAGATTGTTGCATGCTGGTCCGGTCCACTTTTTTCTGCGCTGCCTCATAGCTTGTGTCGCTGTCCCTGCAAAGATGCAAGGATTCACATTCACACCCCCGACAGGCCCACCCAGGGAAGGCCAGAAAAGTAAGACCCCCTCCCCCCCCGGTAGTTACCATTTGTCATTTGAATAAATTGGCCGTTTCTTGCTTCAGTTATATGTTGACCGCTTTTGATACAGACTACGTATTCGTTGATGAACATAACAGGCATAAGAGGCTCAAAGGTATGTTTGACCGATAGAGGACTTGACTTCGTTGCGTCTAATTACGAGCCTATCTTCAGTAATGCGAGCTTGCAATGGCTGCAGGAAACGGAAGATCAAGTGTGATGCTGCTACAACAAACACGTGGCCTTGTTCGGCATGCACACGCTTGAAGTTAGTATGCGTTCCTCCAACAATTGGGCATGATGGCGAGTATCCTGCAGTGGAAAGCGTTGAAACCAATCCTGTCGACTCGTTGGGCGCGTCGAACACATCAGAACCCTCACTATCGTCATATACGAGCTCCCAAACATATCGAGATTCCGGGCCACCTTCAATGAGTAGCATGCACCCATATAATGACAACATCGGGATCTATCCGCAATTTGCGCATTCTACTCCAGGCCAGCCAAATGTCTACGACATGAGGTCACCCCAAGTGGCCATGCCACATCATCAGTACACTCAGTCACAGATGTTCTCCAGCGATCAAACTCAGCCTCTGGGAACCGCAGAAAGTGATATATACAGTGAGCACGACCAGTCCACTGCAGAGAACCTCAGCGAGGTCTTAGGGGAGCTCAAGATAGACGAGACTGGTATTGGTGAGCTATTCTAGCCTTCGTAACGTGTCTTACAGACGGAACGTATTAACATAGATTCAGCGCCGTACATCAGACAGCAACGAAGGGAAAGGGCTGAACCAGAAATCCCGACTCAGGATGAAGTAGACGAAAAGTTACCACCTCTCAGTACCGGAGCTGGCGCCACTATACGCATCCCGCCCGAACTTATGCCATCTGATGACGAGGTCATGAATTATTTCAAGATATATTTTGATGATATTCATCCTTACGTCCCTGTCATCCATCGATCTCATCTGTACTATCAGTGGCAACACGAACGAAGCTCAATATCCCCGCTTCTACTCGAGGCACTATTTGCATGCGCAGGGAGGCTATCGGACGACCCGGCCCAAGGAGCACAGTGGCTCGCATTAGCAAACAGTGAGGCGACAAACATACCCACGCACCTGTACACCACGTCGTATACTGACTGCGAATCATCTTGTTAGGGCACGAATCTAGTTTTATGGACGAACCTCGCCTCAGTACGATACAAGCTCTGCTTCTATTGTTGAAGGCCCGAGAGTCACGACCTAAGAAAGGTTATTATTACCGTTCTTGGCAGACTGTCAAAACAATCATCTCCATGGCGAAAGATCTGGATATCCATGAACATAACAATCTCCACACGGAAGGCAGGTCTTGCGACTTGAATCCAGTAGAATGCTTGGTGCAGACACGGGTCTGGCAGGCCCTCTTGGTTGTCGAAGTCATGATAGGGGCGCCGCAGGGTATGTCTTCTGATTCTCGTAGTATATATACTGGCTGACTATCCCCAGGGCGTTCCGATTACGGTGTGGACCATGAGACAGTAAATACGAGTCCGACTTTGGATATCAGAGGCCTTGATCAGTTTGAAATGGATCGGTCAAGGCAATATGCGTACTTCGTCCGAAATGCACGCCATATTCGCATCATTGCCGACATATATCATAAGATAAAGAAACAAAAAGATTGGGGGGCTAATCCTAAGTTCGTTGAAAAGAACCCTCTCTTTACCGACTGGCTTCAGAGTTTACCACCGGATCTACAAGTCAACTATCCTCCCGATGGCTCACCACCATGGATTCCATCACATTTTGTCGGAAATATGCACTCCCACTGTCATCTTGGGATTATCCTGTTGCACCGTCCACAATTAATAGCCTCCAAATCTTTTGCGGCAGGGGGAGGTTGGAAGATGCATATGGCGTTATGCTACTCTTCGGCAAAATACCTTTGTAGGCTCCAAGAAGCCATTCTGAACCGCTTTGGGCTGTCTGGCCTGCTTTTCATGCAAAGGGGCATAAATTTCACAATATATACCATCTTGACATGCACAATGCTGCACCTTGTGAGGATTCTAGGCCTTTTATGGTATTGACGGTCAGCTAACGCTACAACAGGTGGCCATAACATCTCCAGATCCGAATTTTCATACGGACGCGCGGGAATACTTCACACGACACATGCGAATACTTGAGCGTTGTTCTTCTGCTTGGCCTATGCCAGAGTTACAAGCGCAAATCGATTCATTGCGCTTCGCCTTTTCAGCTGATGTGAACCGACCTTTCGATTTGAAGCCAACTTTCCCATATGGGAGTCCCTCCGAGCCATATCACCCAAGCCCGCCAATAGATTCACATTACGCTTCTCAAATCAGTCAAGTACCTGGCGTTCAAAGTAGAGTGGGTTATGCAGCTTATCCTGTAACTCCTCCAATATCAGCTGGTACTGAAGATTCAAAGTCCGATTCCTCTCAGCTACAGCCCTTGGGATTAATCCCCTCCCAATCGATTTCCGCCCACGGAATGAATGCGCCTTTGGTTGATGAAAATAGCTGGGATCCTACTCGCATTATCAAGTAAGCACCCCCTTTCCCAAAGAAAAGAAAATTTTAACGCCGAGAAATGGCCGCTGACTGTTACAAACTGTGTAGTCAATGGGATATGGCATTCTCTATTGGTACACCCACTGTGACAACAAACTCCCCACCAATGGCTTTGAGCAATCCTGCCCAGGCTGTTCAACCTTCTTTACCTGACCATTTCCCCGTACAATATGAGCAGCAATCAAAGGTTACCCCGGTCGCGCCAGCTCCCATGCCACAAACTCAATTCACCGGGCAACAAGTTTTGTTCACGGCGCGAGATTGGCAACAAAGTGTAGCTAGTGTGTACGATCCAAACGGTCTCAAACGGCGGTGGAATTATTCAGTCGACCTAGGAACCGAAGGCACTTCAAAGCGCCAGCGGTAACGCGTTCTATTCAGCACAGCTGGGAGACTCGGGGCTGTCTTCAAAACGCAGGGGTCACTTCTAGAGTTCTTGGTTGCTGCGATTTATAGCGCCCGCCAGAGATATTCGCTCTTCTCACACCTTGGCATGTCTTCTTGGTAGCTGGTTCCTGTAGGTATGCTGGTCATGTTACTTTGCTCCCAAAGCAGACATGCTTTCCATGTACAAATGATAGCTTATCCAAATGAGTACCACACAACCCTCAAAGTTTTGAGCTACTGCTTCTCTCTCTCTTTCTCGTGTAACGTAAGGATCTTATTTCATATCAACGCTGTAATGGCATATGGTCTATCACTCCGCATCATAACAGAGCGTCCGCCCAGTGAAATTGTTTTTCATTCACTCTGGCATTATCTGTTGGGCCACTTCAGTCGACCGAGATAAATCTCCACCGACTTGCAGTGGCCTCTATACAATTGCATTCTACGACGATCCCAGTTGATACTATAATCATAAGGAATTATGAGACAGGCAGGAACAGAGACGTGGTACAGTAAAAAGTGTAAGATTCGCAGTATAGATTACAAACCAAGCACGCCGTCGAGAATAGACTTGAGAAATGTTATGCGCAAGTTGTGGGGTAATATTATTGCTGTAGAATATGCACTTGTAGCAGGAGGATTTGACCTGCACAAGGCTAAACCTTGCTGTGTGTAGGACATTCAAAATATTCACTGCCAATCGGGGCTCTCTTGGTCTTAGGAAGTGCTGATGATGCCCAAGGAAATACTAGGCATGAGTTGGTAGCCAGGAGAAGCCAACGTGTTGGGCAAACCCTTCGAGAGTTAATTGCGTCGATTGATGCCGATGCGCTCTTCACGCGAGCGGACTATTCTCGCCTTGTCCCCTGGCAATGGCTTGAGTTCATCGCTGGGGTCAAGATTGACATTGGAGCTAGTGCTGGCATGGCCTTCGGTACGAGTTTCTTTGGAGAGCTGTCGGAGCCGTGATTGTTCAAAAGTTGCAAGGTCTTCGGAGGTTATAGCTATAGCGGTGGGTTTGCGACGCAACATATTTGATCGTGATACCGAAGCTATGATGATAATAATGAGTAATGACTAGAGAGGCTTGCCGCTCCCACGGGTGTTTGTCTGGGGTATGCTTCTGTCGCTCAGCACGTGACTTTGTAGCATTTAGAGGTAACGAACATTTTTAGTCTCCCTCTTATCCAGTCCTTAGATATTCATCAACAAGGATGCTCCAACAACGGATCGTGCTTCTACGCCCTCGGCGTGCCAGGGCAATAGAAGGGACTTTTTCATCATTTCGTCGGTTTTCGGCCACGTACTTACAAGCAAAAGATTCCAACAATCACTCCAGTAAGTGTGCTCCGCTATAGTCTCCGTCCGCCCAGTTCACAGTTGCATTGCTCTCGTCTTACTTTCCCTCCCTCCCTCAACTGGTCTCTGTCCTGGGCAGTTGTTGTTATCGTCCGGGCATACTATCATATCTCAGTCCACAGTCACTCGTCTTTCTAACTAATGCAGATGCGAATGCAACCGAGGGTCCCGCAGCCTCTTCCGCCGCCGGACGTCCTAGTGCGCAAACCAGAAGAAACAACATTCCGCCGGCGAATCTGAACATTCGGAGCGTCAACCATGAACGACCTCGTCCCCGACGGATAGTAGATGCGAGATCTCTCGCCGCCTCTCAAGCCACTGGCCAACCAGCAAACATTCTTAAGAATCCCAGGGCTCGCAATCCTCGAGGCAACCGATCCACTGCTTCTCGGGGCCCTAGAGCTGAACCAAAGAAGAAGGTTCAAGCTAAAGATGGGCGAGCACGCCGTCCTCGACGCACCGAGGGGTCCGGCCAGGAAGATTCAATATCCAATGCAGCATTCCATGAAGCCTCGATCAACGCTGTCTTCCGAGAGCTCGCAGAACAAGCGCAGCCCAAGCCTGTCCAGTACAATCCCGAGTCGATCTCCTTAGCTTCACTGAAGGAAACATGGCCATCTCTACCCACCGACATTGACGCTCATACTGCCGGAGTCGTTGAGAAGTTGTCTCTTTTCGGCGATCGCTACCCAAATGATTATGTACCTCCAAATGAGCTGGGCAAGCGACTTTATCAGGGCAAATTTGTCCGCTTTTCGAGTGAAGAGGAAAAAGCTGAGGCCATCTCTGAAGCGAACAAGCTATCGCAAGAACGCGCAGACAAGTTGTCCCAGCGAAAAGGCGATCTTCTGGAACCACGTCATGTCAACTTCAGTCCACTCAGCACCAAGGACCAAGGCTCACTTCTTGGACTTCTTGTTCAGGGCAATTATCCTAAGTCTAAAGCCAAACAGGGGGACAACCTCTCAATCGTTGACAGTGTCTCTGAAAACCTCAGAAACAATGCAACGTATCACACAGTCGGCAAATCCTCTGCGTTCATTGCGAAGTTGGACTCGCTTTTAGCCGCCAGTCGCATGACAAAACGCGCCTGAGAACCTTGTTTTCTGATACCGTCAGTATCCTTACTATGTACCTATACTTTTGCAACTTTTCATGATCCCTTGTTATCTTTGTCATTGTTTACATTTATGCCTTGCAAGTGACTGTAGAATACATTACTCTCTGAAATAAGTTACAGAACTCGTGTTCATATCACCATTTGAGTTCACTCAAAGCTGGTCTTTCAGCAGTGTATTTCCTCATTACGCCCGCTCCATAGCCTTCCTTGTAGCCTCAAACAGTTCCTTCACTTCCTTCTGACCTTTCTCTGCAAGCTTTTCCATCTGTTCTTGGGCCTTCCGAACGTCATCTGGCCTGGCAATCTTCTTTTTCTGCAAATCCTGAAGACGTTTATGTACAGCACTGCGTGAATCACGGACGGCACCGGCAGATTTCTCCATTGCTGCCTTTGCCAGAGCGATCGTTTGATCCCGGGACTCTTTAGTCGGTGGGGGGATCGTGACGTTGAGCTGAAGAGAATTGTGAGGGTCGGCTTGCGGAGTTAACGACAAGTTGGAGGAAATTATTGACGATCGAATGGGCTTCACATGCTATATCAAAGACGGTCTGTGTTAGAACAAGACTCTGGAAATATTGAGAAAATTTGTCGGCTTCACAATAGTAGAGACAATTTCAAGGCACCAGTCAGTAACTCACATCTTCGTCAGAGGCCAAGATAGTCACCATCCGTCCACCCTTAGGAACAACTTGGGCAAGGTCGCCCAGCTTAATCGATTGCTTGCTGCTCTTGTTCAGCTGCACGCGAAGACTCTCAATTGATGCGGTGTTAAACCTCCCCCCCACACGCATCTTAGAGAGCTCGTCTCTGAGTCGAGACAGGGCAGCCGCTATGCCATCATGCAGCTGTGAAAAATCATGCGGGTCTTCAGAACTTGCGCCTACTTTTGGCAGCGGCTTCCCAGAATCTGCACCAGATGTAGCTTTCGTCTTGTCCTTCTTTTTACACCAAAAAGGCGAACTGGAAAAGCTCCTTTTGTCAGACGCAAGTGCTACCTTATGCTGAGTCCAAGGCCGAATTTGATGCTCAGAAATTAAGTTATAACGCAATCCAATAGACGCTGAGCAGCGACGCATATAACTGAGGCCGGTAACTGCCGCACGGCGTTGCATTTTCGCTCTTCTTCTGCTATTCAGATGCCCGACTTTGTTGGGTACGGGTCCTGTATGCTTATCAGTAATAAGAAATCACGCAGGGTACAGTTGCTCGAAGCAAACTGCGCGCAAGAATAGTTATAGACGAGGTTGGTAGGATTTGGTAAGATACACTGCCGAGGCAAAGGGAACAGAGCCACTTCCTGATCACGCGTCTCCAAGCGAGCCACCGATGTCTCCGCGTAGTAGATTACATGATTAGTTCATTTAGAACACAAGCAGCTCGCCATGGCAGCTATGACAACCTACAAAATGGTTAGGGAAGGCAGTTTCAAATGGCAATTCTAACAAGTCGCCGTATTCAAAGTCTAACGGTGGTGCGGGAGATACAGAGGCAATGTCTATAGAGGCAATACACTTTGGTTTGGCAAAGTGCTCGTGCAATCATACGTAAAAAGAGCAATAAGATGATAAAAAAGTTCATATATAAAATTTTCGTAAATTACTTTTGCAATTTTGTACCCGGTCATGAATAAACACGCCTCATCTAAAAGGAAATTCCGTAGACGACGTTAAGGTCTCCAATCTAAGGTGAAGCAAAGAAATCGGTCACTTTGCGCAGGTTGGATGGTGGGACTGAAGGGTGAATGATAGAGGCAAGGGCAATTGTATAGTGCCGCACCTAGAGCATGATAGGATCGCAGAGATTTGTTTACCGAGTGGCCATGGCCTTGGTGATGAGTCTCTTGAGAGCAAGCTCCTTCTTCTTGAGATCTTCAGGAGTCGAGTCTTCGATCTCAAGCTGAGCCATGGCATCGCTGAGTGCCGATTCGATCTTCTCCTTGTTGCCACGCTTCAGCTTCAGCGACATGGTGGGGTCGGAAACAATCTCCTCAACACGCGAGATGTAGGACTCGAGCTGTTGGCGAGACTCGAACTTCTTGGTGAAAGCCTCATCGCTAGACTTGAACTTCGCAGCGTCTGGAAAATGTCAGTATGTCTGCATAGATCTCTGACTGCGTCAAACGTACCGTCAATCATCTGCTCAATCTCAGTGGTGGAAAGCTTGCCGACGGCATTGGAGATGGTAATGTTGGCACTACGTCCGGAGGACTTCTCGGTAGCAGTAACCTTGAGGATACCGTTGACATCAACCTCGAAAACGACCTCGAGAGCGGCCTCTCCAGCCCTCATGGGGGGGATGGGAGCGAGGGTGAACTCTCCCAGAGAGGTGTTGTCAGCGCAGTTGGTACGCTCACCCTGGTAAACGGGGAACTGCACGGTTGTCTGGTTATCGACAACGGTGGTGAAAGTGCGCTTCTTGATCGTAGGGACAGTCTGACCACGGGCCACAACAGGAGCGAAGATGTTACCCTCCATAGCAACACCGAGAGAAAGGGGAACGACATCAAGCAGGAGGAGGTCCTGGGTTTCAGCCGAAGAAGCCTTTCCAGACAAGATACCGGCCTGGACGGCGGCACCATAGGCAACGGCTTCATCGGGGTTGATGCTCTTTAATTCAGATTCGTTAGGACAAGACTCGTTAGACAGATGGCGAGAGTAGCACTTACCTTCTCAAGCTTCTTGCCATCGAAGAAATCGCTAAGCAGCTTCTGGATACGAGGGATACGGGTGGAACCACCAACGAGGACGATCTCATCGACCTTGCTCTTCTCAAGGCCAGAGTCCTTGAGAACCTGCTGCACAGGCTCGAGAGTACCCGAGAAAGACTTAGCGTTCAGGTCTTCAAAACGAGCACGAGTGATAGAAGAGTTGAAGTCCTCGCCATCGAACAGAGAGTCGATTTCCACAGTAGTCTGGGTAGCGTTGGACAAAGTACGCTTAGCACGCTCGCAGGCGGTTCTGAGACGACGGAGGGCTCTCGCGTCACCGGAGAGGTCCTTGCCAGTCTTGCGCTGGAACTCCTTCTTGAAGTGGTCCAGGAGGTTGGTATCGAAGTCTTGACCACCAAGGTGGGTATCTCCAGCAGTAGCCTTGACAGTGAAGACACCACCCTGGATGTTAAGGAGAGACACATCGAAAGTACCACCACCAAGATCGTAGATGAGAACGTTACGCTCCTTGTCAGACTTGCCGGAGCCGAGGCCATAGGCAATCGCTGCTGCAGTGGGCTCGTTGATGATACGGAGCACGTTCAGACCAGCAATGGCACCAGCATCCTTAGTAGCCTGGCGCTGGTTGTCGTTGAAATAAGCGGGCACGGTAATGACTGCCTTCTCGACCTTCTTTCCGAGCTTGGTTTCGGCAACCTCTTTCATCTAGAGTGATCTGTCAGTATCGCAAGAGGGAATGTAGCAAGCAATCCCGCGTAATTGGGATGAAAAGGAATGTTACCTTCATCAAAACCATAGAAGAGATTTCTTGGGGACTGAAAGTCTTGGTTTCGCCGAGATACTCGACCTCAACCACAGGGTTTCCACCCTGATCAACAACCTTGAAGGGCCAGGACTCAACATCCTTCTTGACAATGGGGTCCTCGAACCGCCGACCGATAAGACGCCTGTATTTGATTAATAGTGAACATATGTCCAGCGAAAAGCTGCTTACTTGATGTCGAAGATGGTGTTCGTAGGGTTCATAGCGGCCTGGTTCTTCGCGGCCTCACCGATCAAGCGCTCCTTGTCGGTGAAAGAAACGAAGGATGGGGTAGTGTAGCTACCCTGCTCGTTGGCAACTGCATGTTTATAAGCTCACCAGCGCCGTATCTAGAGGACACAGGTAACGACATACTGATCTCAACATTGGTACCCTCGTAGTTGGCCACACAAGAGTAGGTGGTTCCTGAAGTATCTCGTCAGTCATTACTTGGGACAACACGGTAGGGAAATGGCTCACCAAGATCAATGCCGATGGCACCTTCGTAAACTTCGTCGGCCATTTTGACAAATGTGTATGTCTCAAGAGAGATAGGATAGAAAAATTGAGATGATGCCAAAAGGCAGGACGATTGTTGGAGGAGAGGAAGACTAAATAAATTTTGCCCCAGGCGCTGGAGTGGGAGCGGTTAAAATTTGGATGAAAAAAAAAGAAACCCACTTTGCAATTTTTCCTTCCTTCCTCGATTTTTTTTTTTTTTTTTTTTTTTTTTGCCCCTTCATTTCTCACCCAATCCGCTTCTTCGAGGACTGCCGGTTTTGGCGCGTTCTCGGCTGAGCTAAACTTGGGTTTCAAGCCCTGGTTGGCTGCTGGACTTCACTTCTTAGATAATCAGGCGATTCTTTCTTCGGCTCTTTACTACTACTAGTCGATAGTACTCAGATTGGGGCACTGGGCAATAGTAGTCGAGAAGTGTTGACTATGCATCACTAGGATTTTGGTTCCCTTCTCCATGTTCAGTATGCAAGTTTGTTCCCTAAGATTCTTCATACAAGCTTTTACCATACGATTAATCGGATTTGGTTTATCACACTGTGAGTGTAGAAAAGTTCTCGTATAAGCCGTCCAGTAAGCCCGCACGATCCTTGACATAATTGTGTTAGGAAGAGAAGAGTAGGCAGCAAAGGGTCCGACTGTGCTCCTCCAATCTTTCAGCGAAGGTAGGCCCCTCATGACCTTGGCTTGTAAATGGTTGGTATGATAAAACACAACTCAGCCTACAGCTATCTAGTCCAGGTATCAGTTCTTGATACCTTAGGCACTAAAGCGGGTAGCTACTCCACTTGTATCCCAAACAGTCGAAGAGTCACTGCTCGGACATCTTAATGGAGGCTCTTTCTACGCCCTTAAACCAAGACAGCTTTGATCTACACCTCGCTTGTTATACACTTGAGGGGTCAGTGAGAAGAGACATATTTCGACAATTCGTCACCACAACGTTATTTGCATCTCTTTGAGACTCGAAGTCCTGTCACCCATTTGCTTTTCCTCCCTCTGCTACCAAAAGACTATTTACTTGTAAGTGTCTGCTTGGACCGTTTGTGACGAACAGGCTGGGACTTTCTATCAATAATCGCAACAATGTACGATTCGATGTTATTTTCTCTAACAGCAATCCGACTGCAGTGATTCCGATAGTGTCTGCCCCGCTACCCCCGCTTTTCCAGATGGACATCGATCTGAGCAGAAGGAATAAAAAGCCCCGCCCTTTGCTAGAATCTGAACGGGAGAGACTAGAAGAGTTCATTGATTCTATCCATTATTCAGCTAGGTATGCCGCAGACAAGCGACAATCTTTTGGTGTGCCTCGACCTTACAGTAAACACAGATACTCAGATGACCAGTTCGAATACCGCCATGTCCAACTTCCCAAAAACATGCTCAAGAAAATCCCTGCAGACTATTTTGACAGTTCAAAGGGAACGCTAAAATTACTGTGGGAGGATGAATGGCGAGCACTTGGTATCACACAAGTACGTAAGAAGAGGTCGAACAAATTTATCACTGTAAGAGGTCTAATACCTTTAACAGAGCTTGGGTTGGGAACATTATGAAGTGCACGAGCCAGAACCACATATTCTTCTATTTAAGTAAGTATGGCGACCCTGCCATCGCTCTCTATTCCTAACCAACGTATATAGGCGCCCCTTGAACTATCAGCCGCCAGTATCACAGTAACTCGTCAGCTGGAACATTCCCGATGCCAACCTTGCCCCCGTCGCCTCAGAAACACCAATACGATATTCAAAAACTACAGTCACTGATAGTGGAGCTACGCATGCAAGAAGGCCCATATGATTAGATTGCATTCAGAAATCTCATCCTGTTGAGATATGCTCCTTGCTACCAAAGAATGCCCACAATTATCATCTGAACTTGAATACCTCCTGTTATCATACCACTCTCTTTTAGAGCACAATTCCTACGCTACATTCATGGCCAGCCATTGCTCCCATTGTGTGGCCGTGAAGCTGCTGCTGATACCTGGTTCCTCGACGCCCTAACCAGCGGAATCAGTGCACCAAATCGCTCAATTAATAATGAGACGGCTTACATTGAAATATACGGTCGGAGATACATGGACGCCGATTGTTCGACCTGACTGTTATATCTAGTTAGGATTCAATGTTGAGCACAGTAACAATATTTCAATGGCGCACCTTGACCATCAATTTGATATCATTCGTCACCTTGTTGCCGGTATTCAACTGTCCATCAGCAATAACTTCGCTGATGTTCAATAATTCGAGCATCTCGTGTTCATCCACACCAACTGTCGCGGCTATCTTCGCAAGTCTCTGATATGTTTTGTTGCGTGTCTCGTTAACAACACTGACATCAAAAAATTCTTCTTGGTGACTGAACAGTGCAGCGCTAAATTCCCAGAACTTGTCTGGGGCTATTTTCAACACCGCCGCACCAGCTTCATGCGTCAGAGTGGATGATGGATGCCAAGGTTGAACGTGCTGACGAAAGACAACCTGAAGTCTTGATTGATAATTTTGTAAGATAATTGGTCTCACCGATGTGTAGAATGTGCTGAATAGCTTTGCGGAGTACTGGAAGTAGTATATTTAGTACACTCTTCCTGCGTAGGGTGCTGTATAAGTACTAACAGGGCAGACATAATCAAGGTCTTCGATCATCAATGCGTTAGTCATCGGGGTACAGAAGAGCATTATCAGTATTAGATTAACATACATAGTTCGAGGGTATGCCATGGTTGCTGTAAGTTGGCTGTCAACAACTTCTGACCCGAAAATTTGGGATGAAGAGCCATTATCTTTACACCGACTATGGTCAACCCTTGTCCTTGGAGTATAGATACTATGTAGTAGTGAGCTGGAAAGAAAGTGCCCCTCTACACAGCCCGTGCTTATCTGCGGGGGTAGAGTGATTACACATCAATTAACTAGCTAACGTTTACGTTAGTTAACTGGTTAGTTAACTAGTTGGTCTAACTAACGTAGTTATAGTTGATTAGTCAGGTCATCATATGCTAAGATAACTGACAGCAGCGTGCGGGTCAGCTATCTACATGATTCTATACAGAGAAACAAGTTCTTTTTATGATAATATATCTTAACCGGTGTGGTAATTATCACTATATATATACATATATAAACATATCAGATATAAACATATTCACCAAGTTTTTCTATGAAATTCCCTGATCAGAATAGAATACTGTTTTATAACTTAAAGAGTTTTTATATTCTCAAAAAGTTATATGCTTCATAAATACGAAGGACTACTGATAACATGAAACATTATTTTTATTATCCTCAAAGTTCATAATAGCCTCAAAAAAGATCTATTAGTAATTCTGATATAGAACAATGATTTGTATATGGTATAACATACGTGACTGGCTCGGATGGATGGCCAGCGCGGTCGTGATAAATTTTAACTAACCTTTTTGGTAATTGATTGTCAATCAAGATAATACTTGAGCTACTGAGCATCAGTAAAGATAAAAGGTTCATCTTCATGTATACACTTATTGAAGGTTACTACACTTGGTTTGACCAATGATAACTAACTAGCGCTCGAGTCGCCCTACATGTTCATGCAGAATCTGAAGTGGTGGTACGTAGTTTGGCTGGCGGCACGGACTTTGGCCAGGTAAGATATACATATCCATATTGGGACGCCGAAGTGTTCATTTGGTGCGGGCATCAAATAACCCGTTGCGAAGCTGAACCCTCTATATGTGGTCTCCGAAAGTATTTCATGAATCTAAATTAATCTGTAAGAGACCGCCTGACAAACACACCAAACCATGTCTCTCGCTGGTATCTCACAATGGCTTGAGGGCATAAAGTATAATAGGGCATTGAAGTTGATTGGTACGCTTGGGGATTGGTGGTCTACACAAGCCAGTTGAGTTACAGCCAATGGACATAAGGTTTGCTAACGGGGACCAAGTGCCCTTTGACTGAACAGATTAAGATCTCTAATATCCATGGAGATAGCAGTCCATTGAGACCTCACAACATCGTACTCCCCCTTCACCTCCACTCTGCACACCCCCCTAGGGCCTCGTATACCAATAGGACCAGAAATGTACATAACACCGCGACGAGATGTGTGCGCGTTGCGAGCAGAGCAGTAATTTAATCGCCACTTGAAAGCCAGCAGCGCCATACGTAGGTCGGAACCAGACCCAAGGTTTGGCAGCGGTAATTTCTGCAACGCAGTAATACACAGTGAAGTATGTGGACGGGAGCAGTCCTTGGTTGACGGGCTGCCATCTTGGAAGTTCAGGGGAGGCGGCTGTGACACAAACCGAGAAACGTCGTCAAGTCCATCCGATCCTTGCAATACTGAGGGCAATAAATTTGCATCTAGAGAAATAAAAGACCCAGACACCTGCTCATCTATCGAACCTGGGCTAAGTCGGGAAATCTGTCTGCTCCACAGAACCAAAAAAGCATCCTTAATTGCGTGTGCCACACTTGAAGGCCTCATGCATCTGTGCAGGCAGTCGCCGTCTTCTGCAGTTATTGGCTTCGAAACCCAGGCGAGACCATTCTGAGATAGTTCTAGTCTGTACCAATGAGCAAAATATACTGTACTAACCAGGACATACATACCCAGATCGATAGTATACAGGGGGGGCACGGTACGGAAATCGGTGTTCCAGCCAAACTCCTGCGACAGACAGTGGCCCCCCCAGCATATAATTAAGTAGTCGTGTTTGGGATGAGACATCCAAAACAGCCGAAATTAACTCATCTATATGTTCATGATTGGTTAATTTCGAAATGACTGAAGGATCATCTGCTCGCAAATACCTTTCAAACCCGAGAGCTTGTTCTTGTCAAGGGCTAGTTTCCTAAACGCTTGCCACTCAGGGTCTGTCGCTACATAAAAGTTTCCTTCCTGTAAACGAGGCCAACTCAGGGAAAGGAAGCGAGTTTGTATAGTAGCGGCATGTTCTGAGGTGGGGGGAACATATTCGTCCGGGTCAAACTTCCCAGTCCTGGATGAGGCATCGAGGCCTGGCAGATTCTCCGGTGACTGATCAGTATCATAGAGCGACTCATCAAACCGCAGGACATTGAGTGAAGTAAAGAGATGAAGCGCTGTCCCACACAGAAAAAAGGTAGCTATGAATTTCCTGAAGCACTTGTGAGTGAAGGAAGGTATACCACGACACCTTTGGATTATGAGCTGCTCAACATACCTGGCCCATGGGCGTTTAACCTGTAGTTGACGAATAGTGACCGAGCTTGAATCCCGAGGTAATGGTTGGCTTATCCGGAATGTTACCTGGGATTTTCGAAGTATTCGTCTAGCATGATACATTGAGAGAACTCGGCCGCCGGTTTCGATTATTCGAGAAACATTTCAAAACATCAATCGAGCTAAAAACCAATGTAGCTTTATTGCCCAGTTTGCTGGTATAGGTTGTAACGGATTAAACCAATCGACCAGGGCAAGGCTTACGCCTAGGAAATTTTCAAATTCAGACTCAGAGAGGTATAGCGAATACCGTAGTATTAATGATTTGTAGAAATACTTACCACTGCCATAGTATAAGGAGCAGAAAGTGTTATTCCGCGTTAGTAGGCCCGGCCGCTGTAGCACGTGAGCCAAGCCATCTTATCAGCCATAGAGCTTCCCCAACTTCACATGATGTGCGGAGTACTGAGAGAATGTGTCCTGATGTAGCTGGTCTTTTGCCTAAAAAAAACATCAGCCATTCTCCACTGTAATATCAAGCTATCCAACTTTATATACTTTAAGCTTTTTTCATTCTAGAATCCTACTCACGCCAAAGGGTGACCAAGGGTTGCATTGACGAGGCTCAGATGGCCTGGGCCCATACCAGTGTTGCCATCCCATACGCCTACAATGCATCCTCTATCCCTATGACTTATTGCTATTCTTCGAACACATCATGTCATAACGCAACCAACTTTTGCTGCGCACACGTATCTTATTTCAAGTAACCCCTGGTGGGGTGGCTGCTACTGATTGTTATATATGGACATCCAAAGAAACCAAAAGCAGACATCTTTGGGGCGCCACACAAATCTTGCACTAGGATGGATTGACATGCCCAAAATTGGAGACATTCGTTACCGATTTTCTCTCATCCTCGCAATTGGGGTAGCTTTTGTAGTGACCATTGGTGCCGCCTTCAGGATATCTTTTCATTCTGGGCAAGATGAATCACCCGATGGTATAACGCGGGTATAGGGTCAGCGATAACGTTGAGACGACAAAACCGGGAATGTTGCCATGTCTAAATGTCAACAATAACCATCGTCGCACACTACTCACTGAAATGGCTACCTTACCTGTCAACATGGCCTAGAAATATCCAATATCTAACGTACAACATCCGTGTAACTTGGAGAGTAACCCTGGAGGATGAGGCAAGTGAGTAGACTATGGCCAGTATGATGAATTTAGCCATGCCGTCTGAGATCCGTAATGTCAAGTTAACGTAGGGGAAAAAACATAAAATGGAATAGAAAACCAATTTCATTTGAAACATGCCAACGCCAATATACCCAGCCATGCATTGCCCGCTAAAAGCCAGATGCTACCAGTTTCTCACATGCACAAAGTAGTCTGACCTGAACTCGAGTGGTCTCCACAAACGCCAGGATCCTGACCAGAAAGTCGACATATGCTGATCATCTACAGTGAGAGGAGATATTAGATATGACCTCAGCCAAGCAGGGACACATTACCCTATGAGGGTGCATCAATGTACTGTACAAAGCCGCAGGCGTGTGCTGCACCCAGTGCAAGGATAACCACGAGTCTGCCCAACCGGCATTCCAGATGTCGAGAGGCAGAGAACATATGAGACTTCAAGTTAAGTAATTATTTCATATAGAAGGTCCTGCTTCAAGTTCACCAAGCGTTCGGTTGTTATCTGAATAACGGACGTCTGCGTTCCTATTCGCAACTCCTCTCGATGCACGATTGCCTCGGAAACCGAAGTTCAGGGGAAAGTAAGATGCAGTGAAAATCCCTAACCTTTGGTCCCTCCGACCTGGCTGTGCAGACGAAGTGTCAGGCACAGGAGATGTAGGCTGGTGGTTAGATTGAGGCGCTCGCCAAAGGCGCAAGCGCGAGAAGCCCGCTCTGTGGGTCAAGGGGCGCCGTTGCGCATGCTGCTCCGGGAAACCCGACGACGACCGCAGAAAGTTCACTCTTCCACCTATAAAAACAGCCTGTGGCGGGTTTATAGGTGTCATTCGTGTCATGCCACGTCGACCCTGTCGTTCTGAACTAGGAGGCAATTCAGAAGTTTCTGCGCGAGGTTTCGGGATGTAGTAATCTGCTTTACATAGGGGACAGCAAGCCCGTCGACTTGTCAACCATGGGTCAACACAAGAAGCATGAAAAGCGTGTCCACATGTAAGCCCCCGTATATCATCTTCATCCTCGATCGTATCGAGACAGATAGCACAAGTATCACCTGGATTTGCCAGGAAATCGGCAGGTACAGCGGTGCGGATATGGTCCTCGAGATCTCCAACATCCTCTACGATGACATGGTTGAGCGCGTGGTTACGGGGCTGCTCCGGGGTTGATATGTTGGCGTTGTCGTTTACTCCGATGTTTGCCTCGGGATATCTCTGGCTCTTCTCTTTAGAATGTGGTAGCGTTGTCTCTAGGTCTTCTAGTGGTGTAGACGTCTGCGAAGTGTTTGAATCAACCCGCTGATGGCTTTTGAGTGGCGATGCTAGCATGGATGAAGGTGCGCCAAGCGAAGCAGATATCATGTAGTTCTCATCCTTGAGGCTTTGCGACCGGCTATTTGGTGCCGAAATCCCGCCTGCAGTGGAAAGGCCTTCATTCTCACGGGATGACCTCCATGCTTTATACTTGGTCAGTGGAAACCTCTCGTTGACGTCGTCCATAGTCATCAGCTTCTTTTCTCGGCGTCTTCGGTGCGTTCGTGGCATGGCGACCAGATCTATAGGCTCGCCTGTCTCTTCACTGCGTAGTTGGCGATTGCGTTGGTTATATCGAAAGCAATATTTCACACCAACGATGATCCTGGAATGCGATGGTCAGATGAGCATATAAGCGCAGCAAACGCCTAGTGATACCAACTTGTACATACCATAGATTGGTGAAAACAACACCAAACCCGAGGGCGACGAAAAATAGTAGAGGCGAACTAGTAGGGCTTGAGCTGTTGTTATTCCCATTACGATCTGTACTAGTGGCACTGGAAGAGGAGCCTGTGGTCGTTGAGGACATGTCGACAGAAGGCGATTGGGGAGAGGGGTGGACAACGTTCACTTGAATAGACTATGCCGAAGAGGGTGTCAAAGAATGGGAATTGTTGCGCGTATAGCAGTGTACTAAATGCAGTGTACCAAATTGACGAAGTAAAAAGACACTTCTTGATTATAGATTGTCTCTGCGAGGTTGGTCGACAATCACATAAAAGTTCATCTAGATGAGGGCACCAACTCCCAGGCTCATGTTAAAGGACGCCCCGGGAAGATCATCACTGATACCGATATATTTGGAGCTTCCAGGCTTTCAAAATGGAGCCTAATCTGATGTTGGATGCTCACCAAGTCCGATGGGGGGAGAGGAGGTGAAGTGAGAACAAATACTCCAACGTCGTGGTCGCCAAACACAGACACCTAAGACTTGGGCGTCCGAGTCACGGGGGCAGGCGATCGATCCATCATGTCGGAACCCACTGCGGGGACGGACGGGTAGTAAAATTAAACAGACACAGCCAATTCAGGAAACATCGTCATGGCCGTCAGGATTCAACCACTTGTAGCTACTAGCACGAACCCAGTCTTCAACAAGGTTGATATCGCCTGCACAATACCAGCAGCGACATAAAGAGAAACCAGACAGGTGAACAGAATGGACAGCACAACTTCAACCTCGCATATAGACAGAAATCCCGTGGTTTTCTTTGATATAGCCTTAGGAGGTATGTACATCAAGTGATAGAATCTGTTGCAACCCCGTTCTCCTGACCCAGTCAAGCTACAAAAGCACGTCCATATAAAACTTGAAATGAGTTCCATTCAATATGTCGATTCGCTGGTGTTGTGCTGCTACTGGTTCATACAGTGTTAAAGCTTGCACTATGCAACAAATTGAATACTAAATGGATAGTAACTGAGATATCACTGTGACAGGCGAGCCTCTAGGTCGTATAAAGATGGAACTATTTGCAGATGTTACGCCCCGAACAGCAGAGAACTTCCGCCAGTTCTGTACGGGAGAAAGTAAGAATGCACAGGGACGACCGCAGGGATACAAAAATAGCAGGTTCCATCGGGTAGTATGTTTATGAGAGGAACCCAATAGGCGTTTGGATGGAAAGATGCTAATCCTATCACATCGGAAAAGATCAAAGACTTCATGATCCAAGGCGGCGACTTCGTCAATGGAGATGGGACGGGATCTTGTACCATTTACGGTACTCCAAGGTTCTCGGATGAAAATTTCCTACTGAAGCATGATCATGCTGGCCTACTTAGTATGGCAGTAAGTCCATGAGCCGCAAGACATCCATCGAACTATACAATGACTAATTCCCCTAGAATTCTGGTCCGAACACAAATGGGTGTCAGTTTTTCATTACAACAACTGCAACCCCCTTTTTGAATGGCAAGCATGTTGTTTTTGGTAAGGTGGTCGAAGGGATGGATGTCGTGCGGATGATTGAGAACACCAGAACGACGCGAGATAAGCCCAACCAAGATGTTCTGATTGTGCAATGTGGGGAAATGTGACACAATGATCGAAGGATGTTTTAGCATCAAGTTTCCAGTGGCATGATATTTTCCATTTATGTTATACAGAGATAAAAAGAAAAGAGCCATAAGCATTAAACCCAGAAAAAAAAGGTAGCTGTCCTTTTGTGGATTTCCATCAGTCACTCAAGTTCTGTCAATCCCACTAAATGTTGACTACAGTATAACCAACAACCTATAACTTCAACTTGCCAAGGTAATCAGAAGCTAAGCTGACAGCTTCGTCGACTCTGTCGGGATTGACTCCATTGCCGACTGAAGTAGCTCCTTTGCCTCCCGCCTTTCCCCCGACTGCACCAGAAACGATAGCTGCCCACTCACTAGCGGACGCACCGGCCTCGCTTGATGACTATACAATCATTGATTGTATTAGTTACAATGACATAGGGCCGGAGTTATAACGATAACGACTTACCTTCGACACGTAACAGCCATGGGCAACACGGCCTTGATCGGTGCTTGCAGCCAAAACGTATACCGACTTCTCGGGTAACTTTGACTTAACGTAATTTAGAGATTCGCTAATCGCTTTGGAATTCGCAGAGATGGGGAGCTTGGCGACAAGCCAACTTCTGTCTTGATTTTCCGGGGCTTGGAAATAATTAGTTATGGTTTCGAGCGCGACTTTTGATTCGAGTTTTTGTAGAGCCTTTTGACCATCGAGAACTTCCTTGTTGATACGTGCGAAACGTTCGCGAAAGGCGGATTTCTGTACAGCAGAAATCGAAAGCTGATTGAGCTCGGCCTGGATCTGCTTTGCCTCCTTCTCTTTTTCTGGAGTTAAGGGCATTGCTTCTAAACGATCAAGCCTTTTTTGGAACTCCGCTGCCAAACGCTGCACTTCATGCGCATCTTCTCCGGTCACAGCGATAATTCTGCGGATACCCTTGGCGATACCGCCCTCTTCCAGAACAATGAGATCTTTAATGTCCCCTGTCTTCTGCACATGGGTACCCCCACAAAATTCAATGCTGACCTCTTTCCAACGCGGATCCTTCACATTCTGGAGTATCTCACCCAGCTCCACACCAACGGAGACAACGCGGACCGGGTCGGGATAGGTTTCCCCAAATACAGCACGAACTCCAGAGATCTCGCGGGCTGTTGCAAGAGGAAGCTCTTGAGAGTAGACAGTACAGTTTTGTCGAATATACTCAGTCGAGATCTCTTCAATCCGAGCCAGATCTTTGTCCGAAATAGCAGACTTGTGAGAGAAGTCGAACCTCAGCTTCTCCGCTGCGACGAGGGAACCCTTTTGCTCCACACCGTCCCCTAAAACAGTTCTGAGCGCAAAGTTAAGAATATGCGTTCCAGTGTGGTTGTTCCTGATCGGCCAACGGCGCAGTTCATCATATTCGCAGATGACAGTATCACCTACTGAGATGGAGCCATATTTCATGAAACCAGTGTGCAGGACGTATCCAGCATAAAGCTGAACATCACCTACTTCAAGCTCGGAATGTCCATCGATGACAATTTTACCCGTGTCATTCTCTTGCCCACCCTGTTCAGCGTAGAAGTTCGTTCGGTCAAGGATAATTCCAAGTTGCTCGCCGTCGGGCACCTCGTCCGTAGATGAATGGAACATCTTGCCCTGGTATATGGCCTTCACTTGGGCGGTAATGTTACCCTTTCCAAACTTGGCAGTGTCATCAGTCTTGGGGACGTCATTCATGGCTTCGAGCTTGCCCAGATCATGAACATCCAACTTGACCGTCTCAGCGGAAGTTTTCTTCTGGCCTTTGCTTGCTTCCTTTGCTCGCGAACGCGCTTCCTCGAACTCCCGGTCATCGATCTGCAAACCCCGTTCTTCTGCCATTATACGAGTAAGGTCGACCGGGAATCCGAACGTGTCATAGAGCCTCCAAACATCGGCGCCGTGCAATTTGTCGGCCCCCTTTGCCTTAGCCTGCTGCGCATAATGTTCAAATTGCCGCTCGCCGCGATCCAGAGTCTTAGCAAATGACATCTCTTCTTCGTCTAATATTTCCATGACGTCCGGTTGTTTCCTTCTCAGTTCTGGAAACATATCGCCCAGTTGATCAACGACTGTTGGAACAATCTTTGAGAAGAAGTTGCCGATCTCGACACCAAAATATTTTCTGGCATATCGAGCACCCCGGCGGAGAACACGACGGATGACATAGCCGCGGCCATCATTATTTGGAACCGCACCATCTGAGATTGCAAACATCAAGGTCCGAACATGATCCGCTATGACACGATAGGCAGTATCGATACCATCAGAATCATCACTACCGAAGGATCCACGGTATTCCCTGGCTCCGGTAACGTCTCGAATGGTTTGGAATATGGGAGTGAACACATCTGTATCGTAGTTTGACGACTTATTTTGCAAGATAGACACCAATCTCTCAAACCCCATTCCGGTGTCGACATGCTTGTTGGGCAACGGCCGCAGGGATCGATCTGTTTCACGATTGTATTGGATGAAAACGTTGTTCCAAATTTCCAATACATTTGGGTCATCTTGATTGACCAGATGAGCAGCATTACGTCCACCGACTCGGTCATAGTGAATCTCGCTGCAAGGGCCACATGGGCCTTGATCACCCATCTCCCAGAAATTGTCCTTCATGTTGCCTGGGAGAATATGATCCTCCGGAACGCCAACGGCTTTCCACAGATCTTTGGCCTCGAGATCTGGCTCTAGACCACCTTCCTTATTTCCTTCGAAATAGGTAACGTAGAGACGTCCGGGATCTAAACCGTAGATCTTGGTTAACAATTCCCAAGAATAGCGAATCGCTTCCTCTTTGAAATAGTCCCCAAAACTCCAGTTGCCGAGCATTTCAAAGAATGTCTAATAATCAATTGTGTATTAGCATCATAAAAGCCACGGATTTGGTGGCGTTCTCTCACATGATGATAACTATCCTTGCCCACATCGTCGAGGTCCTACATTTGCGAGAATCAGTAGATACTCAAGTCTCTCCGACTAAACCAGCCTTTTATTTCTGGTGGCGATCATGCGCATTGTACTTACATTATGCTTTCCTCCTGCGCGAATGCACTACAGGTTGTGTTAGAATTAGCTAAAAACGGTGGGGTTAAAGTACTGACTTTTTGAGTGTTGACTGCACTTTTCAAGTTTGCGAAATCAGAGTGAGGATCCACCGTTCCTAAAAAGATCGATTTGAACTGGTTCATTCCAGCATTGGTGAATAGCAAGGTTGGATCAGAATGAGGAACAACGGGAGACGAGGCAACTGGCGGTTTTTAATATGATCAGTTTTGGCCGAGAGATTGCCCCGAAAAGAATACTTACCAAAAGTGTGGCCATTTTCTTTGAAATATTGAAGGAACGTATCACGGACACGTTTGGAGGTCCATTCCAACTTAGGATCATTATCTGAAGCCATACTGAATGATCTTGTGATGATTTTTGCAGGCAGAATATTTGAAAGTGGGGGAGTGTGAAGGTGGTAGAATGTTCTGGGTTGCGACCTAAAGGGTGAAGATAGATGAGTCAAAGCCAGTTCCCCCTCCTTTATGAACCTATGAATACGCATCAAGCGAGTCGTCGGTTGTAACATCCAGTTTTATTTAATTTGAATGTTCACCCTGTCATGTGCAGTACCATAATTAATATATAATTTGATTACCAGATCTATTCCCTCATCCACCAAGAAAGGGGAAGGAAAAAAAAAAAAGGTCAGTGGTTGTGTGGCTAATGGCACATGCTGGTGAGGAAATCAATCACGGGAAAAAGCGCCCCGCAGAGAGTTACCCTGAGGGTGATCAGCCTCTGGCAAAGAGATTCGGTCGGTTGCATATCAGTATGTTTCTGCACCATCTATCCTATTATCTGCATTCTCATCACCCTTGTCTAAGATTCACTGGATCTGATTCGAACTCTTTTGCTTGATAAGATACCATAACCTCCGAACATGACATCAGTGACAGGAAGCTTCCTGCTTCCGTCCATCCTGATACCATGTTATTGGACGATACTAAGGATACCATTTACATACATGATCTGGACAGAGAACTAGAGGATATTGAATCAAAAGAATATTGTCTTGATATCCTTCCCGGAGTTGCTGAGCGGATGTCAACTATTCCGAAGTCATTGGTCGCAAATACTACAAGCCCGTGCAACGAGTTGGTCCTCTACACCGAGCCTACATCATTATCAATCCCTAAGGAGGAGGATAATGTACGAAAAGCGCTGATAGCTACACGGGAGCGCGCTAGAAGAATTCAACATAATTCTCATACGCAAGGTCGGGACTGTACCAAAAGCTCAACCGCAAGCGCGACTACGAGTGGCCGCGGTACCTTAGAAGGGCCTATTGATGTATGTGGTGAGCCAATGGAAATTGATGTTGATTGCTGGGGCAGCATTCCGTCTTGAATCTCAATGAATGATAATAATAAAAAAGAGTTTTCAATCAAGAAAATTTATAATTTTAAAGAATTATAAGCCCAACATACGAGTTATCTTGAGATGTTTTTTTTAATAATAATCTGTCTTTGTATTTAAATAGATAAATTAGATAAGAAATCGTTATAAAGTTAGATATATATTCTGTAATATTCTGTCATGGTTTGTAATCAATATTGTAGTTGATAGAAACTTGAAATTCTATAGACATTCTATTTTAATATTTGAATTGTGAGCAAAATATCTACAAAAATTATCAGAGCTTAAGAGAAATAATATTATTATAAGTTTATAACGTTCAGATTTACTGGACATATTTTATAAGAAAAAGTTACATAGATATAATTAAATTGTTTAAATTATAATTGTTACAGCGGGGCAGCTGGCTTATTGTGATCCAGCAGGTCAGGTAAGTTATATGGAATCATAAATCGTGTAAATTGAATAAGATTATATAATTTACTTTAATATTATTTCTTACTAGCCCCCCCCCCAAAGCACTATAGGAAGATAGTAATCAATTTAAAAATAAAATAATAACTAGTATTTATATATATAGTTAAATTCATGATATTCTTATATTATCCTTAACAGTTCCGATTGCTTGCTTTACAAAAAATTAATACATAGGATAATAATATTTCATAAGAGAAAGCTTACAGGAATTTTTAAATATATTCTTATAAATCCTCCTCTAATAATCAAAACTGTAAAAGATAATTATCTAATTAATCTCTAAATTAATAAGACTTCTGAATTGAATAAATTCTTAAAAGATTAAGATATAATCATATTGAAATAGTAGTTATACAAGAAGAGGAATTTAGTTAAGAAAATTATAATTATATAGTTAATTTATAGATCTAGATAAGGCTAATTGAGAATATAAAATAATAATATTTTGTATTATAAATTTATTTCTTGGTTTTTTACAGTAGAGAGAATCTCAAGGAAAAAATTATATATATAATAAAGCGACCAGCTAGACCTGTAATACATATAAAAATATTATAATAAAGAAGAATTATATATTATATTCATATAGCTTATATGAAGAATTATTTTATTTAAAATGATTTAAAAATAACAGATACTGTCTCTTATTTTTATCTATTATTACTTATTAGTTTTAATAGAAATAATATAATAATTGAATATTTATTAATGAATAATCTGTTTTGAATATTATAATTTCCTTTTCTAATAATTAAATAAATACAAATTTATAGAGATATGTGAACTAGTCTTATCAAAACATGGAATAGGAATTACTAGTCTGCATGTAAATTATATAATAATATTTATATTAATTAATAATATATATAATTTCTAAATTTATATATTAAGAACTAGTAAAGTTTAGGGATTATCCCCTGGTGCCAAGGGTATATTATCTATAGGATAAAAAGAAATAGCTAATATTTAAACAGAGGTCTCAGAAACTTCAGGAATTTATATATATATATATATATATATAATTATTTAATTAATGGAAGTAAGAATAGCTAGCTGAATTTTCATAATATAAGATTTTATTTCTTATTTCATAATATTATCTTCTTTTTATTGATTTAGAATTGAATTAGTATATAATAATCTAACAACTCTCCACCTCTTTTATTATGTTAAAACTTAAGTTATAAGTTTTATATATACTTTTTAGCCAGTCTAGTGTCAAACCCTAGGATCGCTTCCCTGTTCCTGTTAGCTTAGCTTCACTGATATATGTACCATCAAACTGGACTGAGGTGGTATCAGACTGATAGTCTATCTAAGGCACTGGTCTTGAATAAGAGAAGAGAAGTAAGGCCAGATAGTACCGCGCAGCTATCCGTAAGTGAGTATAGATGAGTATTGTACTGCTAAGCTTCCAAAGATAGATTACTTAAAGATAATATAGATTGAGCACGAAGAACAGAACTAATTAAGTATATAAATAAGTATCTTTATATATTCTATTCTCTGTATACTAAGTAGTATATCTTTTTATATACTGTATATTATATATTATATACCCGTCTGTATACCATCCCATATACCCATAGTCACGTGATGTGTAGCTATTCCGGGCATTATAAGAGTAATCCGGGATTCTCTTTAATAAGAGTTTCCATTTACTCAAGCACTGCCTCTATTGGTGCTTTCTGCCTAACGAGTCCGCCTTACTAGCAGGTCAACTAGCAGGGGTCTGTAACATCTAGGTAATAAAATTGTTTACTTATATTCTAGATTTTATTTTATAGAGAAATATTATTATAATTTAGACTCTCGGCGCTCGCCCACTCTGCTCTATAATATTTTTAATTTTTTATAATTTTTATTTCTATTTTTATTTCATATTTAAATTATTCTTATTATTTATTTCTCTTATTTCTTATTTAAACTATTACTATTTTGATTGCTTATTCTTCTTTACGTTGTACTGGGCTCTAATAAAAGTTTCTCTAGTTTTTTTCTCTATATCTTATCTTTATAAAGTTAGAAATCCTAGTTCTTGTTTATATAATATATATTAAGAGACCGTCTTGCGCCTGGTTTTTATCAAGAGATTTATTTCTTTTATTTTATTTTTAGAAAGGTGGAGGGCCAGTCTCTTTATTTATACTTATATTAAAAAGTTATTCTACATTTTTATCTTTCCCTAGGTTTTATACTAATTATTATATATATGAAGAGCCCTGTTTCTTTGTTTATATAAAAATTAAGAATGTATTTTATACTATTTAATTTTTACTTAGTCCTTTATTTTATTCTGGTTTTTAATTATAAAAATATCACTTATGGATCTTCTTTACCTGAACCTAATAATAATGATTAATGAAAGAATATTTTTTATTATTTAAATATTTCTATATAGATTTATATTTATTAATTTATTATCTTATAGTTATATCTTTCATGACTTGATTTATATTCATTTATCTTAATTCTTTCTATAAAGATATAGAGACTAATTATTTTTCATTCTTTTTCTTTATTTTTATTTCTTTAGCTTAGTTTTCTTATTCTTATCTTTAGTATCATATACTATTAGTTTTTTATTTCTGTATTACTGGTTATTTATTCATTTATTTCTGTAGTATTTTTATTTTTAATTATTATATCACTTACTGCAAATATCCCGGCTATTATGTCTATTAATATTTATAAAGTTCTTACTAATACTGGACTTTTATTTAATTTATCAAAAATAATTCATACAAACTTCCTGTATAGACTTTTAACTAATTCATACAATAATCTTTATCTAAAATATAGAGTATAGATTATAGAAGATAAACATTATATTTATTATTTTTATCTATTTTCTTTAAAGGTTGTATCCGGTAACTTGACTATCTCATAAAAGAATATTTATTGTAAATATTTCTAAAAATATAAACATAGACTTTGTATTATAATAGATATTTTTATTAATATAATTTTTATCTAGTTATAATCTGTCTGCTTAAATCTGGTTACTGGTAATATTATTCCAAAAAATTTATAATTCCTAAAACTAGTTTTTTATTGATTATTAATTCTTATGTAGTCTGGTAAGAGTACTGAGAATTCTCTTATAATTTTTATATTTATTAATGAAACTATTGTTCTTTGATAATAAATATTCTTTAATTTAAAATATACCAGGTTATACTAACTCCAGGGCTAAAAATAAATATACTTAAATTTTATTATAATTTTTCAAGATACACTTATAACTATTAAACAAATCTTTTGGATTTTTTCTGTCTTTTCTTAGACTTACCAGGAGTGTGCTGATTCTGATTGAAATTTCTTCAGAAATTTTCCTATATATATTATAATAATATGTTAAAGTATCGTAATTAATTTCTAGATATTTTCAAAAAGTTTATTTATTTAATTCAGTAATAGAGCTTTTATTTTTCTCTTTTTCAAATATCAAATTTTTCTAAAATAATTTTCATGTAATATTTACTTTCCACATTATCATGTATTATTAAAAATAAAAGCTAGTCTATAACTACTAAATATAACAAATTTATATAAAATTATCAAGACAAATAAGATATATTACTAGTATTTTTATAATTTGATTTTAGTGGTTTTTAATATAGTTTCTTAGTCAGCTAGTTAATATTAATATTTTTAAAGATTTCATTTGATTATGTTACTAGTTTGATGTCTGGAAGTAAAAAATCATAATTTATTTAGTTTCTTATCTTCTGCTAGATATGCATTAATAATATTCTAATTTAATTATTAGCTTTTTTTAATAATATAAATAATAGTTTATCTATTTATACTAGACTACTTAGAGATTTATTATATCAAATCAATAGATGTTAATTGAATTAAAAAGAAATAACTTATATTTATATTTACAGAAAAATTGAAAAATAGAAATATCTTAATATAAAATTCCCGATATTATCATATGAATAACTAATTTAAGAAAGATATTAATTTTAATTACTTTGATTATACTAGATATAAGTCTGAAAATAAATTTTTATTATATTATTTATTTATTTTATAGCCCTGTCAGTCTAGAAATAAGTATACTATAGATAATTATTTCTTGATATCTATAAATATATATATTTATTTTTAGATTTTATTTATAAATTAAATTCTATGGTCAGAGATAGTTATTTATAATATATTATATTATTATATATAATTATTCAGGATTATCCATGTCAGGTATTCAATTTAATCTTTTAACAGTTATTAATATTATTTCTTCATAAATTAATCAAAAATAATTAGAATATTAGTACAGGTCTTATTATTTTCTAAAAATCTAATAATAAAATTCATGTTAATAGTTTATCAAGAGCGCTCAGAGACTGGAAATATCTTTAATAAATTATATTTTTCCATATTATATTTTTATATTTTTTTTATTTTTTATATGAATTCCTACTTGTCCTGTGTTATATTGGAGATAAAAAAATATCTCTAATTATTATTAGATATATTTATTCCCGGCCCAGGTATTTCATTAGTAAAGTTTTATATATCGTTTTACTGCTCTTCATTATCTTTGATATATATTATTTCATTTCTTAATTACTTTATAATAAGTAGGTATTGATGGATATTAATATGATTTTAAAATTTAATCTGAATAAATTTTTACTATTTTTTAATTCAACAAATTAGGAAATATATATAATAATCTCTTCATATTAATAATTAATTAGTTTGATTCTTTTTGCGAAAAAGTATTTACTTAATAGATAAAGAAGAAGTTAAATTTACTAAAATAACTTTTATTATTTATCTTTCAGATAACCTTTTTTAATATTCAAGAATATTTTAGGTTTTTATACTTAGTAATTATTTTAATCCAGAGTTAAAGTACAGCTTAATATTTCATGTTTTTATAAATTTTATAATTATACTCTACCATTGCTAGCTTCTTATTAAAGAGATGAATATATAATTAATAGATCTTATTATATTAAAACAAATGTTTTCTGGTATATAATTTAAAGAGTTAGACTTAATAGTTTTTTACATGAATTTAAAAAAAATAATTATTAATTCAATATAGAATATTCTTTTCAGTTAAACAAGCTTTCTTAACATTTTTAGGTCTAGTAACACTGGATGTTTTTTAAAAAAGAAAAAATATAAAAAGCTTAAATAATCCTGAGAAATTTAGAATGAATTAATAATAAAAATCAATAAGCTTAGTAAACTTATATATTTTCTTGATAATAATAAAAAGCTTTTATGTTGAAATTATTTAGATTTCTTTTAAGATTTATATTGATTCATTATCTGGTTTTGGTACTGGATTTTAAATATTTTATTTTTTCTGGTTTCAAAAGATATTCAGTTATATTTAAACATAGTCTTACTTCTTATAATTCAAATGAAGTCTTTTAAATATAGTTTTAATAAATATTATTAAAAGGATTTTTATAACCAGATAAATATACAATGCAGATAAGCAGAGCAGAGCTTAGTTAAATATTTTTATAGGAGTTAATTAATATATTTCTAGAAAATATCCGAGGTATTCATAGATTTAAATAAAAATTATTAATTTTTTATATAACCTATATCAGATATATAATTTATTTGTTGAATTTTCTTTTTGGTAATATAGATCTTGTAAAATATAGTAAAATGAAGTGTAATAATATTAAGTTTGATAAATTAATAAATTAATTAATTTTTTAATTTAGTTTAGGGCCTTATTAATTAAAGATAATAAATATTCAATTTTTATAATAATATTTCATTTGTAATAATCAATATAGAAATATAAATTTTTTTCTACTTTTCAAATAAACGGAATCAAGATTATTACTACGAATAAATATATATATAAATTTTTTACCTAAATATTTGATAAACTTTTTCTATAGTATAATTTCTTTTTTACATATATCAATAAAAAGATTTTATAGAGATTAGAAAAATTATAACTTCTGGTTTAATTAATTAATACCCGCCCTGTAATATAAAAATAAGATTTAATATTTTTGAATTCAAATAAATATAAGAATTTTGAATATTATTCTAAAGATAAGATTCTCAAAACTAGCTTTGTCGGTCTATAAGGATTTTCCTATATTTTTTAAAAATATTATAAATAACTATCTGTAACTATAGTACTTTCTTCTCTTTCTAGATTTATATTTGAAAATAATAATTGATACTTAGATTAAAATATATATACAATAATTTATTTATAATATTCTAATTTTGATATTGTTAGAGCGGGTCAGCTGGCTTACTGTGATCCATGGGGGTAACACACAGTCACAGATCATGTGAAATAGGCGAAGTTATATAATCTACTAATAATATATCTTACTGCTCCCCGGCACCTAGAAAGAGTAGTAATTAATTTAAAATAGAATAATAATTAGATTTATATATAATAAATAAATTTATTATATTTTTTACTGTATTTTAATAATTCTAATTACTCTTTTTAATAAGAGACCTGATAAATAATTAATAATAATTTTTTTGAAATACTATTCTAGAAGAAGATTTATAAAAATTCTCTAATAATTTTATTACTAGATTTTTTTTTAATAATTAAAACTGCGAGCAGCAAACACCTGATTAATATAAAAATTAATAAAATTTCTAAGTTATATAAGTCCTTTAGTAATAAAAATATTATAATATTAAATTAAAATAATAATTATATAAAGAAATCTTAAAAAAAAATCATAGTTATAGAAATAACTTATAGATCTAAATAAGATAATAAAAAATATAAAATAATAATATTTTGGATTATAAAGTCCTTCTACCAGTCTTTTATAATAAAGAAAATTCTGGAAAAGAAATAAAAAGAATTTTATATATTTAATTAATTATCAATTAGACTTATAATAGATAAAACATATTATAAAAAAGAAATTGCTAAATACTGTATTTATATAATTTATATAAAAAATTATTTTATATAAAATATATACCACTTCATCTAAAATAATTTAAAAATAATAAATATTATCTTTTATTTATATTCTTTACTACTCCTTCAGTGGAAGTAATATAATAAATATATTTATTAATAAATAACTTACTTTGATTTAATTAAATTATTATAATTTTTTAATAATACAATAATTCTATAAATCTGTAAAAAAATATAAACTAATACTATTAAGATATAAAATGAAAAACTATTAATTTATATATAAATTTATATAATATATTTATTAATAATATATCTAACTTTCTGAATTATATATTAAAAATTAATAAAAAAATTATCTGCATACCCGGGTACTGAAAAAAGTTTATAAAAAAATCTTGAAATATTTTAAGAAGTTAGATATATATAATTTCTTATAATTTATTTATAAATTATTAAAAATTAGATATTAAAATAATAAGCTATATTTATAGTAAAGCGAAAGAGTACTAGAATATTATTTTAAAAAAGTTATAATAATTTAGATAATATAAAATTCAGAAAATATAAAAAAGATTTTAAAATAAATTTAAATATAACAGAAAAAGGACTTTTAAATAAATAAATTTTATATTTAATATCAAATATTATTTATACTAAAAGCTGGAATATATAGCAGCTTATTATCTAAAAAATATAATATAAATAAAAAGTTAAATATTTTAGTTTTATATATAACAGTAGTACTAAAGCTCTAATTATAAAAAAATTTAACTTTATAAATAATATATTAATAATGATTAATGTATCTAAAGATCCTGTACTGGTGTATACTTAAATAAATTACAATATATAAATGAATTTTATAAACCAGTTATAGATAAAATAATAATTAAATTTATATAAATATAGATTTTATTTATATATAAATAATAAAAATAAATATTATGTCTGAGCTTCGGGATAAATATAATAATTTTATAAATATTTTTTAAAAAATAGATAAATAATTTTATATTATAATTTAACTATGATTATATAATTGAATTAAAAACAGGAAAATAATTTTTATATTAACTAATGTATAATTTTTCAGACACTGAGCTCCGGATCTTATATAAATATATTATAATTATATTACAATAAAAATAAATCTATTTTTTTAGAGTCCGTAAATATATTAATTCTATTTATTTTTAAGAAAATAATATATTATATCTTTACACGGATTACTGTAGATTAAATATAATTATTTTGAGAGATTGTTACTTATGATTTTTAATTAATGAAATTATAAATTATCTTAATAAGATTAAGATCTTTATAAAGCTTGATCTATATAATATCTATCATTATATTTAAATTAAAAAGAATAATAAATAGAAAACTACTATCTATATTTATTATATTTATTATAAATATATTATTATATTATTTAATCTAGTTAATATACCTGCTATATTCTAGAGCTATATAAATTATATATTTAATAATTTATTTAATATTCACTATATTATATATCTTGATAATATTCCTATATATTTATAAAATTATAAGAAATATATTAAATATATACGGGCAGTACTAGATTAAAAAAAATATTTCTTAATAATAAAGATCTTCAAATATAAATTTTATATACAAAAATTATATTATGTCAAATTTGAAATTAGGCCAGAAAAGGTCTTGATAAAAAAATAAGTTAATATAATTTAATCATAATTAGAATTAAAGATTATATATGAAATCCTGGTATTTATAAAATTTATAAATTTTTATAGATAAAGAAGAATTACTTATTATTATAGAAGTATTCAAGCAATAATACTATTATTTCAAAAAAGAAATTCTTACAAATCTGATTATACTAATCTTAAAATCTTTTTAAGTCCTGTATTTAAAAAGCTAAGCCTTTAGTAAACCAAATAAATAAAATTATTTGTAATATTTAATTTTATAATTAAGTACCAGCCCGGGGGGAAACATCCTGTAAATATATTTAATTAATATTTAGATCTTATATTTTTACTAGAAAAGATAAAATAAAATTTACTATTATTTATATTATAGATAAAATTATTAAAAAATTTAATAAATCTAGAAGAATAAACAGAATTATTAAAAAATTATTAATAGAGAATAACTTAAGTAGCTGTACAGAAAATTAGTTAAATACTAAAATATACATTTATAAAGAAGAATACCTGCAGGTATTAAAATATGTTTATAAATAAAAAAATATTAATAATAATATAGAAATTTTAGATCTTCTGGTACTACAGATTTATATATATATATAATAATTAAATCTAAGATAATATATTTTAATTTAAAAAATTTTATAATAAATCTATTTTATAAAATACAGAAAAAGAACCCGTGGGTATGAGAATAAAAATTAAAATTTTGATAAAAAAAGAAAATAATTTAATCAAGAAAATAAATAAAATAAATTTATTTAGAAAAATAAATATATAATAATTCTGACCAGCTTAATAATAAAATAAAAAATATTATAAATAAATCATGATATATCAGAGGACAGGTATTACTAAAAATAATATATTTTAAAAATATTTAATATAAATATTAATAGCATAATATGCATGCTGAGATAAAAAAATTATTTATTTAAATATATAATTTCTATTAAAAAATTTAAATTTATTATTATATTTTTTATAATAAACCGGAACTGCTACTATAACTTAATAAATTCAAGAAAATAATAATTATAGATTTTATTATATATTTAGCCCCAAATAATAACAAGAGAAACTTTATTATATAATTCTAGTAATAATAAATATATATATTAAATTTATATTTTATTTATTTTACCAGAAAAATATCACAGCTCTATAATTTATAAAATTAATATATATATACCATGCTTATCCTTGAAAATATAAAAAAATTAATAATTAATAAAAAATTATCTTTATAAATAAATATTAGATAATCCTGTATTATTATATAAGTATTTATAAAAGATTAGTAATATATTATGCCTAAATAGATAAATAAATAAAATATTAAAATTGAATTATTAAATATTATTTATAAGTTTACTTAAATTTTCTCTAGAATAACTAGATTTAATGGCTTCTAATAATTCAAATAATTTATAATAATATAATCTATAATATTATTAAAACTATATTTTATAAGATACTGATAGGCTTTATATCTTAATTATAAATTAATATAAAATAAGAATTTTTTTAAATAAAATATTTATTATTAAAAAGCAGGCAGATATCCTTGCTAGAATTAAAAAAATATTTAAAGTTTTATTATATAAAATAAAAAAGTAATAGTGAAGTAATATAATTATAAATATAAAAAAAATCTTTCAGATAGAATAGGAGGTTGTAATATAAATTATAAAAAGTTTAATTATTGATTTAAATATAAAGCTTGATTACTGATAAATTAGATTTTTCTTAATAATTAATATTTAGAAATTATAGTTATATAAATTATAATTATTACTAAAATATAAAAGCTTATATCTAGTTTTTTATATTTTACTTTTAAAATTATATTATTTCTAAGTAGATAAGTTTGATTGATTATCTCTGATATAAATAAATAGATATTAGAAATAATTAATAAAGAAAATTCTTATATATAGAAATATAAAAACCATAAAAGATTTTTAATATAATAATATAGCTACAGTCTTAAGAAAAAAATATTTAGAAATTCTTTATAAATATTGAAGATATACAGGTCAACTAGAATTAATTATTCTAATTAATATTAAAAATAATATCTATTCACCAGTAAAAATAATATAAATAATTAATATTATATATTTTACTAGCCATGCTCTACAAGGACATTATATATATATATATATATATTATTATTTAATAATTAATTACTTATAAAAAAAATAAAAGAAAGTGCTGAAATATATTTAATTATTTATTTAATTATACATAAATATCCAACTAGAAGAAGTAATTAATAATTTATAAATTAATTAATTTATATTTTTATATTATTTTTTATAATTTTATATATATCTGAATAAAGTATTCTAAATATAAAAAAACAATAATATTAAATTCTAATTATTTATTATTTTTCTAGTTAGATTCCTGGAACTAGCAGACTGTATACTAGAAATTAATATTATTATTTTAAATATAATCTAGTATAAGATATTACTAGACTATATTTAGTAGAAGTAATAAATAATTATTAAATAATAATACTCACCGGGGATTTGTTATATTAGTTAATCTAATATTATATTTAATATCTAATATAAGGAAATCATTTACTAATATATAAAAATAGTAGTAAATTAAATAACAATTATATTTAATATATCCAGCAGGGATTATATAATGAAGATTAATAATAAAATAAGATTTTATAAAAATAAAATATTAATAATATTAGAAATATACAAAACAACTACAGCACATAAAAAAAAGGAAAATAATAATAATAATAATAATAATAATAATAATAAATGAATAAAATAGATACAGCAGGTGAGACAGGTATAATAAATAAAATAAATATAATAAAAATATTAATAATAATAATAATAGCAGTGCAGATAATAATATAAATATAAATAATATATTAAATATAAAAAATAAACTATTTTTATTAACTATTTTTATTAACTATTTTTATAAATATTTTAATAAATAATAATATAGCCACATATTTTTAAAAAAGAAAAAGAAATTAGTAATCTAATATAAAAACACGCATAATATATAACTAAGTTATATATAAATTTAAAATCTATTCAATACAGCTATTTTCCTATATAAAATATAAATCATATATTTTTATTATATGAATTATTATATAAACTACTACCTACGCAGAATAATAAAAAAATATATTAAATAATTATTTTTTATCAAATAATAAAGGAAAATGTGTAAGCAGATATTATATATAAGAAAATAGAAATAATATAAAGAAAGATTAAAAATTATTATTACTAAGTAAGCAAGCCAGTATAGTGATATATTATAAAAAAGAAAGTAATAATTATGGAAAAATCCCTGATCTTATATAATTTATTATTATAAATATAATATAATAAATAATAAAGCTATTTATGAATAAGTTTTTACATTCTAAGATACAGGACTGTAAGATTATATTTATTATTTTATATTAATTTATTGTAAAATAATATTATATTTTTACAGGCGGGGCCCTAGAGTAAAAGATATATGTTATATTAATAATAAGAAAAATTATAATTCTAATATTCTAATTAAGCAGATTATTATAATTTCTTGATTTTCTAATTAAAAAATATATAAATTATATAGATTACTTTACAGCGGCAGGGACGCAGTCTCTAGAAGAAGAAAACAATATTAAAATAAATTAATTAACTTATTATAATCTATAGGGGTAATACACAATCATGAATTATATAAAATAGATAAAGTTATGTGATCTGCTTCTAATAATATATCTTACAACTTCTTGGTATCTAGGAAGAGTAGTAATCAGTTCAAAGCAGAACAGTAGCTAGGTTCACACATAGTAATTGAACTTAGTATATATAATATATAATTAAGTTATATATAAACTTAATATTTACTTAATATAATTATTTTTTTTATAGTATATAAATTATATATTTTTATTATATAAGTTTTTATATAAATAAACCACCACCCTTGCAGAACAGTAAGAAAGCTATATTAAATAATTATTTTTATAAAATAATAAAGAAAAATATGCAAGCAAGCCATTTTATATAAAAAATATAAATAATACAAAAAGATATCAGAAATTATTATTATTGAATAACTAAGCCAGTATGATAATATACTATAATAAAAAATAATTATAAAAAGATAAAAAGAAATCCCTGATTTTGTATAACTTATTATTATGATCTAAATATAATAAATAATTAAATTATTTATAAGAAAATAGTACTTTCTAGAATATAAAATTATAAAACTATATTTACTGCTTTATACCAGCCTGTTATAAATATATATATATATATATATATATATAATATTATATTCCCGCGTGGAGCCTGTGATAGGATCTACTTGTCAGGGTAGAAAGCCTGTCGACTAGGTAAGGAATCCGCCATGAAATGCAATATATTGGTCTAATAATCAATAAAGATAGCCTATATCCACAAGATAGACTGATCCTTGAGGGATCAGTAGCTTATTATAAAGAAATCAGTATCTTATAGATATCAAGAAGATATAGAACCTCTATTAATAACCTTACAACTCTCATAATTATTGTAATATATTATTCCGATATCTAAGGCTCTGATAACTAGATTATTTTATTATAAATAATATTCTCTTTCACTGGGACAAGCCACCTAGCTCAGATATTAGAGATAGTCTTATATATTTCTGATTTAGAATAGTATAGATCTGATAATAAAAGACAGGGAATCCGCAGGAAATATTACAGAGATAAGGTTATATATTATTTCTGTATAACTTCAAGAATATTTAATTATATTTATATAAATAAATTAGTAAAAGAGAAGTATAAATAAAAGATCTTTTTATATTACTTCTTTTTCTCCTCTTTTTCTATCCCGGGGTTATTGTTTCTTTGATAGTTCAGTATTATTTTATTTATTCTTTATAATCTTTTTATTAATTCTTCATTATTTCTATTGTTATATATCAATCATTTAGTGATTAAGTATTATTTTTATACTTATTTCTTATTTTATTCACCTCCAAATCATGTATTCTGTATTAAATTTCTTGATATAATTAATAGAACATGTTATTACTGCTACAGAGCTGCAGTTAACTAATTATATTCTGTCTGTACTATAGTAATTAAACTATAATAGTTATAATGTATGTATTACTTTTATATTTTAGTAAAGAACTTTAAATCTAGTAAAATAGAAGTATAGAAGGTCTTTGAGATTAACTATATTTTTAATAGAAAAAAGTTTATTTTATATTACTAGTATTACAGCCGGCACGGCAGCTGTGAAGTAGTATAGATTTATAAATTTTCTTTAATATTCCTAGACTAATATAACTAGACTCTTGTGGAAGTCTTAGAAAATACTATTAAGCTAATTAAGTTTCTAGACTAATATTATATTTATTTTTTTTATATTCTAGAGAATGAGAAGAACAATATCTTTATAAATTTTAATAAAAATATTATTTATACTGTTAATAACTGTATTATATATCTGGGTAAGATCTTTATTTAAATAATAATAACTTATAATCATTATTATAGTCTTTCGGTTGTCC